TCGGTGTTAAATTTTGTCATAAGCGTTTTCTGCATCTATTGAGATGACCATATGGTTTTTATGCTTCACATTGATTTATTTGTGTATATTGAAGAATCCTTGCATCCCTGGGATAAATCTCACTTGATCATGGTGTATGATCCTTTTAATGTGTTTTTGGATTCTGTTTGCTAGTATTTTGTTGAGTATTTTTGCATCTATGATCATCAGTGATATTGGCTGTAGTTTTCCTTCTTTATGACATCTTTGTCTCTTTTGGTATCAGGGTGATGATGGCTTCATAGAATGAGTTTGAGAGTGTTCCTTCCTCTGCAATTTTTTGGAAGAGTTTGAGAAGGATGCGTGTTATCTCTTCTCTAAGTGTTTGATAGAATTCACCTGTGAAGCCATCTGGTCCTGGACTTTTGTTTGTTGGAAGATTTTTAATCACTGTTTCAATTTCATTACCTGTGATTGGTCTGTTCATATTTTCTATTTCTTCCTGGTTCAGTCTTGGAAGGTTATACCTTTTTAAGAATTTGTCCATTTCTTCCAGGTTGTCCATTTCATTGGCATAGAGTTGCTTGTAGTATTTCTGCAGTGTCTGTTGTAACTTCTCCCTTTTCATTTCTAATTTTATTGATTTGAGTCCTCTCCCTCTTTTTCTTGATGAGTCTGGCTAATGGTTTATCAATTTTGTTTATCTTCTCAAAGAACCAGCTCTTAGTTTTATTGATCTTTGTTATTTTCTTTGTTTCTGTTTCATTTATTTCTGCTCTGATCTTTATGATTTCTTTCTTTCTGCTAACTTTGGGTTTTGTTTGTTCTTCTTTAGTGCCTTTAGGTGTAAGGTTAGATTGTTTATTTGAGATTTTTCTTGTTTCTTGAGTTCGGCTTGTATAGCTATAAACTTCCCTCTTAGAACTGCTTTTGCGACATCCCATAGGTTTTGGATCATCGTGTTTTCGTTGTCATTTGTCTCTAGGAATTTTATTTCCTCTTTGATATCTTCAGTGATCTCTTTGTTATTTGATAATGTATTGTTTAGCCTCCATGTGTTTGTATTTTTCACGTTTTTTTCCCAGTAATTAATTTGTAATTTCATAGCGCTGTGGTCAGAAAAGATGTTTGATATGATTTCAATTTTGTTAAGCTTACTGAAGCTTGATTTGTGACTCAAGATGTGATCTATCCTGGAGAATGTTCCATGCACACTTGAGAAGAAAGTGTTATCTGCTGTTTTTGTGTGGAATGTCCTATAAATATCAAGTAAATCTATCTGGTCTGTTGTGTCATTTAAAGCTTGTGTTTCCTTATTAATCTTCTGTTTGAATGATCTGTCCATTGGTGTGAGTGAGGTGTTAAAGTCCCCTATTATTATTGTGTTACTGTCGATTTCCTCTTTTATAGCTGTTAGCAGTTGCCTTATGTATTGAGGTGCTCTTATGTTGGGTGCACATATATTTATAATTGTTATGTCGTCTTCTTGGATTCATCCCTTGGTCATTATGTAGTGTCCGTCCTTGTCTCTTGTAAAATTATTTATTTTAAAATCTATTTTATCTGATATGAGTATTGCTACTCCAGCTTTCTTTTGATTTCCATTTGCATGGAATATCTTTTTCCATCCCCTCACTTTCAGTCTGTATGTGTCCCTAGGTCTGAAGTGGGTCTCTTGTAGACAGCATATATATGGGTTTTGTTTCTGTATCCATTCAGCGAGCCTGTGTCTTTTGGTTGGAGCATTTAATCCATTCACGTTTAAGGTAATTATCGATATGTCTGTTCATATTACGATTTTCTTAATTGTTTTGGGTTTCTTTTTGTAGGTCCTTCTCTTCTGTTGTGTTTCCCACTAGAGAAATTCCCTTAGCATTTGTTGTAGAGCTGGTTTGGTGGTGCTGAATTCTCTTAGCTTTTACTTGTCTGTAAAGCTTTTGATTTCTCCATTGAATCTGAATGAGATCCTTGCTGGGTAGAGTAATCTTAGTTGTAGGTTCTTCCCTTTCATCACTTTAAACATGTCATGCCACTCTATTCTGGCTTGTAGAGTTTCTGCTGAGAAATCAGCTGTTAACCTTATGGGAATTCCCTTGTATGTTATTTGTCATTTTTCCCTTGCTGCTTTCAATAACTTTTCTTTGTCTTTAATTTTTGCCAATTTGATTACTATGTGTCTTGGTGTGTTTTTCCTTGGGTTTATCCTGTATGGGACTTTCAGTGCTTCCTGGACTTGGGTGGCTATTTCCTTTCCCATGTTAGGGAAGTTTTAGACTATAATCTCTTCAAATATTTTCTCGGGTCCTTTCTGTCTCTCTTCTCCTTCTGGGACCCCTATCATGCGAATGTTGTTGCATTTAATGTTGTCCCAGAGGTCTCTTAGGCTGTCTTCATTTCTTTTCATTCTTTTTTCTTTATTCTGTTCCACAGCAGTGAATTCCATCATTCTGTCTTCCAGGTCACTTATCCATTCTTCTGCCTCAGTTATTCTGCTATTGATTCCTTCTAGTGTATTTTTCAGTTCAGTTATTGTATTGTTCATCTCTGTTTGCTCTTGAATTCTTCTAGGTCTTTGTTAAACATTTCTTGCTCTTCTCGATCTTTGCCTCCATTCTTTTTCTGAGGTCCTGGATCATCTTCACTATGATCATTTTGAATTCTTTTTCTGGAAGGTTGCCTATCTCCACTTCATTTAGTTGTTTTTCTGGGGTTTTATCTTATTCCTTCATGTGGTACGTAGCCCTCTGCCTTTTTATTTTGTCTGTCTTTCTGTGAATGTGGTTTTGTTCCACAGGCTGCAGGATTGTAGTTCTTCTTGCTTCTGCTGTCTGCCCTCTGGTGGACGAGGCTATCTCAGAGGCTTGTGCAAGTTTCCTGATGGGAGGGACTGGTGGTGGGTAGAGCTGGCTGTTGCTCTGGTGGGCAGAGCTCAGTAAAACTTTAATCTGCTTGCCTGCTGATGGGTGGGGCTGGGTTCCCTCCCAGTTGGTTGTTTGGCCTGAGGCGACCCAACACTGGAGCCTACCAGGGCTCTTTGTTGGGGCCAATGGCGGACTCTGGAAAGGCTCACCCCAAGGAGTACTTCTGAGAACTTCTGCTGCCAGTGTCCTTGTCCCCGTGGTGAGCCACAGCCGCCCCCTGCCTCTGCAGCAGACTCTCCAACACTAGCAGGTGGGTCTGGTTCAGTCTTCAATGGGGTCACTTCTCCTCCCCCTGGGTCCCGATGTGCACACTACTTTGTGTGTGCCCTCCAGGAGTGGAGTCTCTGTTTCTCAAAGTCCTGTCAAAGTCCTGCAATCAAATACTGCTAGCCTTCAAAGTCTGATTCTCTAGGGTTTCCTCCTCCCATTGCTGGACCCCCAGGTTGGGAAGCCTGACATGGGGCTCAGAACCTTCACTCCAGTGGCTGGACTTCTATGTTATAAGTGTTCTCCAGTTTGTGAGTCACCTACCCAGCAGTTATGGGATTTGATTTTATTGTGATTGCGCCCCTCCTACTGTCCCATTGTGGCTTCTCCTTTGTCTTTGGATGTGGGGTATCTTTTTCGGTGAGTTCCAGTGTCTTCCTGTCAAAGATTGTTCAGCAGTTAGTTGTGATTTTGGTGCTTTTGCAAGAGGGAGTGAGAGCACGTCCTTCTCCTCTGCCATCTTGAACCAATCCCACCATGTGGCTTCTGCAGCCTCATGTCCTCAGGCAGCCTTGCTGCCCCCCTTCTGCTTGGGGAGGAGAGGAGACAGCCGTGTGCCCATGTCGTGTGGTTGTAGGACCCTGGATGGTGTCCGGGACAGAGTGCAGGGGCAGTGCCGGCTGTGATGTGATGTAATTACCCACCTGCTACTCCCCCTCATCCCCCGAGGGATGGTTATTAGTGTGTGGGATCTTGGGGTATATTCCACCTGCTCTAGTTGGTTAGGGCTGCATCACAAAGTACACAGACTGCAGGGCTTAAACAGGAGACACATATTCTGTCACAGCTCTGGGCTCCAGACTCCAGGTGTGAGCAGGGCTGGTTCCTCCCGAGGCCTCTCTCCTGGGTGTGTGGACGGCCGCCTTCTCTCCGGGTCCTCACATGGTCATGCCTCTTTGTGTGTCTGTGTCCTGATCTCTTCTTCTAAGAACACCAGTCCTATTAGATCAGGGCCCACCCCTGTGACCTCATTTTACCTTAATCACTCTTTAAAGACTGTCCCTTCAAATACAGTCACATTCTGAGGTACCAGGGCTAAGACTCCAACAACCTGTAACAGGTGGTAAATACTGGACCAAATACCAGCTCGGCATCTTCCTTCACATCAAAAGACAAGGGACCCCCATGCTTTCCTTTGCGGTCACCTCTTTGAATCTTTTGAGTCGTGTGTGTGATTGTGTGTCTCTTCTGTGCTCGATGGTCAAAGTGCTAAAATATAAAACAGTCTGCATGGAGGCCTTTATCTCTTCAATCACTTGTAGAACTTAGACCACGCATCAAACATAAGCTAGGCTGCGTTAAAAGAAAAATTATAGGTGTTAATAATTAAATCCACTTTCATTTCAACATATAATGGGGCAAAGTAACTATTAAGTGGATGAAATTAATTTGGAGGATCCGTTTGAAGAATGGCGATATACCTCATATAGAAATGTTAGCACTGTGAGTTATCCTTCTCTGTAGGGTTTTTTTTTAACATCTTTATTGGAGTATAATTGCTTCACAGTGTTGTGTTAGTTTCTGCCGTATAACAAAGTGAATCATCTATATGCATACGTATATCCCCATATCCCCTCCCTCTTGCATCTCCCTCCCACCCTCCCTATCCCACCCCTCTAGGTGGTCACAAAGCACCGAGCTGATCTCCCTGTGCTATGCGGCTGCTTCCCACTAGCTATCTATTTTACATTTGGGAGTGTATATATGTCCATGCCACTCTCTCACTTCGTCCCAGCTTAACGTTACCCCTCCCCATGTCCTCAAGTCCATTCTCTACATCTGTGTCTTTATGCCTGTCCTGCCCCTAGAGTCATCAGAACCATTTTTTTTTAGATTCCACATATGGTGGTGGTGAAAAGGCAGATCACGGGGGCTCTCACCTGTTCTTCTTCAGTGCGGACGTGGACAGTCAAGGCTGGTAACAAGGAGTGTAGTTAGAGGTGTGTTTCTCCTTCTGGCCAGTTTGGTTTTGTTTTTCATTTCTGGTTGAGCCTTTGTAACCGTGTGTGCACCGCTGCCCAGAGGCCCACTTTCCACCCCTCGTGGGCAGGAACCCCAGTGTTAGTGTTACTGTTTACAGCGTCCTCTGTGCATCATGTGCATTTGTGCATCTATTGTAATTCAGCAAATGAAGCTTCATTTCTAACATGAATTTGTGTAATAAATAGAAGCAAAAGTCCCAGGTGTAACACACTTCAGAATGCTCAAAGTGTTTCACAAGTGCTAGTTTATTCGAGGCTCCACGAGAGAGACTATCGCTGCCCCTACAAATGGGGATGTGCTTCCCAGGAGACTGGCGGGGGGTGGCTGGTCCCCACCCCAGTCCTATCGGGGCCTGGGGCTTGTCCACAGAGCACAGCTTAGCAGCAATCTATGGATAAACAAGCTCCCATTGTGACGGTTTTATACTGTAAGTCAATATTGTAATTTTTTTTTCTGACTGCCCAAGTAAAATACGAATCTCACAGAAAATTTGGGACAGCACCACCTAGCAATGGTCACCTTCTCTGGAGACTGTCAGTCGTGTGTGTAACTAACCTGCCTGCCATCATTCCTCTGCATACGTACAAACACCTGTGTGCGTGCGTGCTTGTTTTTATTTTCTTGCAAAATGTGTAGCATAGGGTACAAAACTTTGTAGTCAGTGATTTCCCTTAATTTTTGCCATCGTATAATCTGCCTCTTGATTTTGGTAGAGAAAGATTTTTGAATTGCTTTGCAAGTTTCACAGAACTAGAATTCAAGCCCGAGGCAGCCACTGAGTTATTAACTGTGAACGTTACTTTGGGGGCTTTTGAACTCCCCTCAGGGTGAATTGCATCTTCCTCACAGGCTCGTCCCTGCAAAATGGGGAAGGAGAGCTGGAAGGAGGCCCCCCAGGTGTTGTCCTGCTTTCTGTGACCAAGGAGCATAATCACCACCAGGCGGGGTTCTGGGACCTGACCCTGACCTTCCACAGGTACCAGATCACTGCCCTGCTAGGGACCAACGGTGCTGGGAAGACCACTGTCATGTACGTCCCACTCCCCTCCTGAAACCTGGGGCTTTGGTTCTTACAGATACCAGTTTACCTGTGAGACAGAGGCTAGATCCCTTTTCTTCTTCTTTTTTTTTATTTTGTCTCAGTACAGAGTTTAATGACACAGCAGAAAGACAGACTTCTCACTAGAGGTGCTGTGGGTCTGAGCAGACTCAAGGATGGGGGAGGGACTTTTAAAAATAAATTTAATTCTTTTATTCCCTAAAAGATATTCACAGTTTCACTTTGGCCTTTGAAAGTCCTATGACATTTTCTTTTCTCCTACTAAGTTTAACTCTGCTTGCATATCTAGACGAAGATGAAATTTGCAATGATGTTTGCAAATTTTTTAACACCTGAGTATTTTTCTTTTTCATGTTCTGCTTTTTGTGTGGTTGTGTTTGTGTGAAACCTTTATTTTTGATTTGGGATCCAATGGCTCCAGATTTGTTTAAAGAATCAAATCATGTGATCCCAGAGAAAGGATGAGCTCAAACATTCATGGCCCACAAAACAGCCCTGAGCTGACTGTGGAAATGGGGCGTGTTTAAGGGCAAACCACCCAAATTACTGAATGTCTCTTTTGAACAAGTGACTGTCTTTCTGTTCTTTATTAGTAGGACTAAAGTATATGCTTAGTTAAAGCAAGAAAAGGGAGTATTTGCTTCAGAATTCTTATAGGTAGAAAACATAAAGCTTCAGAAATCTTTTACTGTGAAAATGTGGAAAGGTTTCTACTTTCCTCGGATGCTGAAATAGAGTTGAAGATTTCGCTGAGTAGTTTTTTAGTGTTTTCAGATCAGGAAAGGAAACGTTGCTCAAATAATGACTCAGAAAGCCAGCCTCCACACTGTGCTTTTACTAATGCACATTTCCTACAAGAAAACCTGGAGTTTGTGCTCAGCACAACGATGAGAATTAAATCAGGAATTTCTCGGTGTTTCGAGGGTCGCTGACTGCGTCATTTTTTGTGCCTGTTTGCAGCAGGCTGTGAGTCACCCCAGGGATGTCTCTTCCTGGCAGGTCTCAGAGGAGAGGCTCAGAGGCCTGTGCACTGGCTGGCGGTCACTGCTTGAAATGAGAAGCTCTGAGACTCATCCAGATGTGTACACACGGTCCCATTGTATCCCCCGAAGAGGTTTGAAAATTATATAGCACACAGTTGTCAATCAAAGTTACTGAGGTGCAGTTCATGTGCAGCAAACAGTATGTGTCCAGATGTGCATCTGATGGGCCGACAGGCTTAGCTACAGCTGCACAGCAGCCGGGGGAGGAACAGGACTCCGACGTTTGTGCCGCTCCCCGCCCCAAGGCCCCTGTGCCTCCTGGATCCTAGCCCCCGAGCGACCAGACCTGCTGTTTGTTCCTGTTACGCAGTTTGCATTCTCTAGCGTTTCCTATAAGTGGAGTTGTGCTGGGTCCCCCGTTGGCACGATGCTCGAAGACCCATGTGTGGTACTGTCGCATCAGCTGTCTGGTCCTGAGGATTCCACGTGGTGGAAACCCCACAGTTGGTTTATTGTTTCACCTGTTGGTGGCAGTTGAGGTTGTGTCCAGGTTTTGGTGATTAGGAACATTCACGTAGACCCCTTTGTGTGGGCACACATTTTAATTTCTTTCTGTAAGTAGTTAGGAGTGGTTTGCTAGGTCTTGTGGTGGGTGTATATCTCACTTTGGAGAAAAAGAACATAGTCTAAAGCATGAATAATAAACTCCCTGAACTAGCAGACTGGGCAGTCCGCAGGTGTCCTGTGGGCAAGGCAGACAGGAGTTTCTGGAGACAGGCCTCGGCTTGTCGTGGATTTGACGTGGCAGACAGGTGGCTCCAGCCACCTGTAGAGGAATGAGGCCTGGCTGCAGGTCTGGGGGCCGAGGTTGCATCTCTGCTCGCCTCACATCCAGTGAGGACTTGGGTGATTGGCTGTATCTCTAGCTTGCTTCCTCGTCTGTGACGACAGACTCGGAGTCACCATCCTACACTCGCAGCTCTGAGGTCGGTGGCCACAGCGCCTCCCAGGGGAGCATGACCAGACCGCAGGCCCACGTCCCGCCGAGCTCCTGCCATTTTTTGCCTCCGTGTGTAGGAGGCAGCAGGCGGGAGGTTGGGTGCGACCCCCCGCAGGCTGCAGGTGTCCCCGGGACCGCTGGGGGTCAGGGCGGCACCCCCCCCGCAGTTACGTGTCTTCTTTCTCTGCAGATCTTTGTTGAGGGGGCTCTACCCCCGCTGCCATCCGGAGCCATTGCAGTCAATGGCAGGAACCTGCAGACGGAGGTACCCTCGGTCAGGGCAGAGCTGGGCACATGTCCGCAGCGCCACGTCCTGTTTGCCCCCCTCACAGTGCTCGACCACCTGCTGCTATCCCCCTCCCTGAAGGCACCACGGGGGACCCATCAGGAGCTGCGTGGCCATGTCCGTAGGTGAGGGGCAGCCACCTCTGCCCCCGCCGCCTGCCCTGTGTGGGTGTGTAACAGGTGTGGGTGCTTCTGGGTGTCCCAAGGTGCAAAGGACGGGCGGAGGGGGTGAGGAGAGGGCGAAGGAGCCTAAGCGGTCCTGCCGAGGAGCCTGGACGTTACCCTGCGGGCAGGTGGTTACAGGCAGCAGGGGCCGAGAAGCCTGCGGCGCCGCGGGTGTACCGGTGGCCCTGGGTGGGTGCCAGCCCTGAGAGGGACGGGACGCAGAGAGGCCGCTGAGAGCCTGAGTCATGGTTGCGACGGAGGCCCAGGTTTGAGGGCTGTTCAAGACCACGTTGACCAGCTGGGTGTCCAAGGTGGGGCCAGGAAGGGTCTGGGGTCAGGATGCATTCTGGGGGGAGCAGAGGAGACGTGTGCGGCGAGCGAAGGAAGGGCTGGGTAGCAGGACGGGCTGGGAGGCCACGGAAGCTCCTCCCGTTTCACCGGGATGCGCAGAAGCTGAGCCCAGAGGGCAGAGGGGACCTGAGTTCCTGGTCAGGACACAAAGTGGCGTCTCTGGGAGGTGGGTGTGGAGGGGGGCGAGGGGGAAGGACGGGGCCGGGTGGGGCCTTAAGCCAGCAGGGGAGCCACTGATATAGAAGACAAGGCCGGGGTGGGTGTGAGGGCGTGGCCCACGCTGGGCTTGGCCCTCGGGGGGACGCACAGCCGGGCCAGTGTGGAGGCTCCTTGTTCTCAGGCCGACTTCACGAAACAGGACGTCAGGCAGGCCTGACCCGCAGCGGGGAGATGCTGCTTTGGGGCCGGGGTGTGAGGACGGATGGTCAGTACTGCACGGGCCTCAGAAGAAAATGGGCATCTAAGGAACTGTCACACGTGACCGCGTATCGCTGCCTTGAAATAGTTTTGCAAGATTCATTTTGTAAAGTGAGGGTTTACAGTCAGCGGGTAGTGAAGGAGAAAGCATGCAGGGCTTGGGAGTGCTCCATCCCCAGAGACCCTGTTCCTCACCACGTGAAACAGAAAAACCTTGCGGTTGGGAGCAGTGCTGGAAAACAACCCCCTGTCTCTCCAGCAGCGCCCGTCTCCAGGCAGGTGTATTCTCCACGCCTGGAAGAGAGCAGTGCTTCTTTGGATGATCTCCCTTGAAACGGGGGACTGTGTTTAGGGACAGCGGGTGTGGAGCAGGTCAGATGCAGGTGGACGCTCACGCTCGCAGGGTCAGATGCAAATTAAGTCTGAACCGAGGCAGCCCCAACCTCAGGGGACACGAGTCCTTAAATCGGAGATGGTGCCCTGGGCTTCGTTTTAACGGTGGTCTCCCCCCACCCCCCAGTTCACATGGTTGGCCGGTAAGTGGCGTCTGGAGGCTGTTCTCCACTGCGGGGGGCAGGCTCAAAACACGTCTTCAGAAGTGGCTGCTGATCACAGCCACGCTAGTGACCGTGGGGTCTCGAATACACAGGAAAATGTCTCCTTTGCACTAGTCAAGCCCATCCCAAACGGCAGCAGGTACTTGCAGAGAAGTGACGCGTGTTGCTAAAGGACAGATTGGTTACGTGCCACCTACATTTTTATAAAAGTCACGGGGCACCAATTTTCATTCAAAGTATGCGCCTACCCTGGACCACGGCAGACTCTGCTCTGCTAGTGGCTGGGCCTCCTAACGACGCTTTGCGGGCTCCATCTTTTGATGTGGGTGCAGCAACCTCGGTGGCTGTCAGTTTGCTGCGTGTTGCCTGGCAACGAGGCTGGCGCGCACAGAGGTGGTCGGGGTGCGATCATGTTTTAGGACAGCTGTTCTCAATTAGAGGAGCGGCGGCTGAAGCCCCTGACTCGCAGCTGAACTCACTGTCAACTCCCGTGGCAGTGCTTGGTTTCCTTAATGAGGAGCTTCGCTACAATCCTGTTCAAGGCAAACGGGATCCTGGGCAGACGCCTCAGAGGGAACCTTTGTCAAGAGCCAGGTCTTTACTGTTCTGCCTTTTATTTGGAGGAGGAGGGAGGAGAAGTCAAGGAGGCACTTTATCAATGGGATGCCGTGATGCAGTTAGCGTTAGTGTCGAGCATTCTGGTGAGCACCGCAGGGCTCCAGCTGCAGGCTGGCTTGTTCGATGGTGAAGAGACCCAAGAGGACAGGTGTGCAGGTGGACATGGGGAGAGGACAGGGCACCGAGCCCTGGACCCTGCAGTGTGAAGAGGATGGAGGGATGAGGAGGGACCCGCCAGGGATGAGGGGGAGGGACCGGTGGGGACTGAGGAGGGACCAGTCCATTGAGGAGGTCAGGTAACATGAAGACTGAAACACGACCTCTGGACTTAGGGTAAGGAAGTGGCTGGTGACTTGGGCAGAGACATTTCAGTAGCACAGTGGGGAGGGAGGTCTCTCTGGAGTCTGTAGAGAGAGGACGGAAGGAGGGGGCTGGAAACCGCACTTCTTCCCCGGAGTCTTGCTGCAAAAGGGAGCAAAGAAATGGGACGTTATCAAGATGGAAGAGAAGAGGATGTTTCGAATACGGAGTGAACCACTGAGGCAGATGCGGGCGGTGGCTTGCTGGGCACCGTCCTGGGAGTGGCGGGGAGGGTTGTCGGGGGGGGGCGACTCTGCGGAGGGCAGAGCCTGTGGACGCAGAGGGCAGGGAGGGGCTGGGGGGCCCAGAGGAGAGTCGGGTTTTGTGGGTGAGCGATGGCTGGAGAAAGGATGTGGTCAGAGGAGGACGCGTGGGATCGAGCCTCTGGTGGAGCTGCGGCTGCCGGAAGCAGCTGGGTCCAGGGTGTGGCCTGGTGTGGAGTGCATGAGTGTGCTGAGTTCAAGGTCGAGAGAGAAGGGGTGGGGTTTTGGTATAACATAGAAATGGAATTAGGACCTGCGTGTTTGAGAACATCTGACATCTCACTGCCTTGTTTTGCTGTTGGTTTTCTCTGCCGGTCCATGTGGGACTAACGTGGGCTTAATAAATTCACCTCCTCTGGTGTTGGAGTCACCTGGCCGGGGAGGGGTTGGGGGTCTAATGGGAATGAAGGTGAAGGCAGTCCCCTGCTGAGATGGACCGCTTGTCCTTTTCCTCCCAACTGGGCTGCTGTCCACAGTGGGAGCACCTGAAAAACAAGGGCGAGAATGGCTCCGAATGTAAGTTGAGGTTCACCCTGCAGGAAATGCACAGGGACGCTAACCAACCGTCAGGTGGGCAGACCGACAACCAGACCTGAGAAGCTCTCCTGGGCTCCTTCTGGGTCGGGATGAGAAATCCGCAGACAGTGAAATGGACACGAAGCATTTCCTCGGTGGTCAGGCGGGCGGGTTCCTGGAATTTTACCAGTCAGCCTCTTTGCCTGGGGGTTTGCAGTTTCTAGGAGCTGACCGTCTTGAAGCCAGGCTGAGTGGCACCTTGTGATCCCTTCCGTGCCTCGTCCTCTCTGGCTGCTCCGTGGCCTCCAGGAAGTTGTGACCCGCCTGCGGCTCCACGGGAGGGAATCCACTGGCTGTGGGTGCTCAGGGGAGGGTTTCGGGGGGCACTGCTCTAAGAGGGGCTGCACAGAGGGTGAGATTAAGTAGGTGGGGGGAGCTAAGTGTTCCCAAGAGTTCACGGGACTCAGAGTGAAAGGTTACCTGTGAGGAAAGACGGCGGTGGCTCCTCTCGTTGGGAGATGCCGGGCGTCTGAAATCAGCGTGGAGACTGAAGGCTCCCGGAGATAAGAGGGGGCCGATCCCCACTCTAACGGCATCTGGTCATTCCTCAGTCAGGAAGGGGCTGCTCCAGATGTAGCGCACGTGGACCAGAGTCCAGACCTTCCGCAGACGCACCTGGTGGGCTTCTCTGGCCACCCCACCGGCCTCCGCAGAGACCCGAGGGAACTGAGGGCCCTCGGCAGCAGGTGTGAGTGAAGCCCAGAGAGGAGACAGCACGTATTTCCTACAAACGGGACCTAAGGGAAGGTCCTGCTCACGAGGCCCCGCGCTGGGTCCCCTGACGTGGCTCCATCTGGGCCCCTCGGAGGCCGGTGCTGTGGCGTCAGGACTCGTGGCCAACGTGGGTCCTGGGCCTCCTCCGTGTTTCTGGGCCTCTTAGAAAGAGCTCGGTCCTCACAAGGCATTGTTTGTGGAGTGGGATTAGGAGTTCGGGGAGGTGAGGGCTGTTCTCGTTCCAGAACTCTCCAGGACGTGGGGCTGGCACAGCACCAGCCCCAACACGCCCACGCCCTCTCAGGGGGCGCGTGGAGGAAGCTGTCCCTCGGCATCGCCTTCCTCGAGGCGTCGAGGACCGTGGTCCTCGACCAGCCCACCAGCAGGGTGGACCCGTGTTCCTGCCGTGGCGTCTGGGACGTGCTCCTCGAATACCAAGAAAGCGGGACCAGGCAGCGCTCCGCGTTCTCCTCCCGCTGTACCGCCGTGGTGGAGGGGAGCAAGGGGCGTATCCCAATACGTCATCCTTCTCGGGGAAAGAAATTTCCCAGGAGTGCACGGAGACACACCTGTCGTGCAGCATCCCTGTGGTGCTGGGCTTCTGGGGGTTGCTCAGCCAGCTTAGCAGTGGGGCCATCCGAGCTTGTCACGCCTGATGTCAGTGGACACTGCACGCATCCACGTTGGGCTCCATTCTGGAGTAATTCTGGGATTACAAGGAGGGGTGTCCCAGCTATAATCTGGAAAAAGCCCTCCATTTTCTCGGGGAGGAAACCGAGTCACAGAGATAAGGGCTGGGGTTTGCTTACAGCCACAGAGGAGGTTCCCCGAGCCAAGGGTGGAGCCTGGGCTGGGCTTTGGAAGTTTCGTGTTTCTCACCTGTATTATTGTGTACAGTACTTCCAACTTAGGGCATTAGATGGGTAGTTATTGACTTCCAGCTTCTGATTTCCTGCTGTGATTCTGAAGCACTGCAGCCAGGAAGCACTGCATTTCACACAGAAACACCGGAGTTTGGAAAAAGCATCGGGAAGAGAGAAACATACCCAATGCTGCTGCTAGGCATGCATGGGAGCAACGGCGGCAGGGTTACCGTGGAAGCTTGTAAAATGTTTTCTTTTCTTTTTGGACTTTTGAGTACAAAGCCTTTTTGACTTAACCTGAAACCTTCACCTCCCTGGGGGAGATTAGGATTTGTTTCTTAAGAAATGCAGGGAGAAGAGACCAGAGAAAAGTCGTCATATTCTCTCCTTAAGGCAGAAAAGATGCTCCTGTTCATCCCTTGAAGCTTAAAGGCCGGGGTCGGGGAGGACACCTGAAAGGACCATCCTGTCCTTTTCTGTTGCAGAAACCTAGGGGGGTCGTGGAGGGAGAAGACAGAAAAGGCCACAGACTGCCCTGGGCTGGGAGACTGCTCTGGGCCCGTGAGGTGGTCAGGGGTGAGGGGTCCTCCCGACCCGGTGCAGCCACATCAGAGCTCATGAGGCCTAGCGGGACGCTGGCCCAGGGCCGCACCCGTGGCGCCTGTCCCGCACTTTCACAGTCCCCAGCTTCTGCACTGAGAGGGCGGCAGAGCCTGCCAGGCATGCTGCCTACAGGGGTGAGGTGGGCCCTGGAAGCCGGGGGAGACTCGGGGGCTGGCGGTCAGCAGGACCGAGGGGCCCGGGGGAGCAGAGGGCCCCGTGCCGTGGGCTGACCCTGTCCGAGGCCCTGCTGCACAGGGGCAGGGACAGGACCAGGTGGTCCTGGTCATCACCCGGGGCCAGAGGATGCTGACCACACCGGGCCTGAGCCCCTCACCCTGCCCACTGCCCCGAGATCACAGCTCGCCCCTCTCTCCTCTTACCTGAGGCCCTTTGGGGAGAAAAGTAGGATGAGAAATCGTGACCCTCTGTGCAAGAGACTTTGGACACCACTTAAAGGGACAGGTGACGTTTTGAGATAAAATGAGCGTAAATCCTTTCCCTGCCCCGGTAGTGGGGTTGATGAAGAGGACAGGTGAGAGGCGGGCAGGTCAGCAGATACTGTTACTCGGCTCGCCTGAGTTGCAGCGCACAGTAAACACCACAGCCTCTTGGTTCTTGTTTATTTTAAAAATCAGCTGGGGCCTTCAGGGCTCAGCTGACAGAACATCTGAGTCATGTGCATAATTGTAACTTTGCACAGAAAACCAGATACGATAAAAGTCTCAGAAACAGGCAGCTTTCTTCAAATTCTGTTGTTATAAATTAAATATATTCTTGCTGTTCTAGGTTTTTTGGCAATGGTTGTCTTTGGAGGCTCCTTTGGAAGAATCTGTGCACTGACGGACATGTGAAATCAGTAGGATAAGATGGGTGGTACCAGCAGGGAAATAGGTTTTCAAGCATCAGTATGTAGCAGTGTCTGGAAACAGCCCCAAACCTCCAGGCAGCTGTGCTACAGCTTTGTAAACCAGAACTAAGGGCGGCACAAAAGCAAGTGATCCCTGCTGAATAGAAGGAGGCTCTGCTGGCAGAACACGGGGCGTTTGGCGCTCTGACTCCCTGGGATGTGATCCGCGTTTCCTGCTGAGTGATGCTTGTTGCTGAGGTCTGGTCAACCCTAGGACCAGTGATTCCAGGCCTCCCTTGGAGGACCAATAATGACGGAAAAGGTACCAGAGCAAATTGGTCCACTCCTCCCCCTCCTGCTCTACACATCCTGGACGACCTGGGAAATGATCCCACACCTCTGGACTCCAGTTTGCAAGCGGAGACAGTCACGCGCCTTGTGGGGCTGTGTGTGAAGTGAGTGTGTGCAAGTGCACAGCTCAGTGCCTGGTACGTGGGTGCTCGGCCAGTGGCCGCTCATCACTGTTGTTAAAACAGGCAAGAGAAGTGGTTGGGGAAGGACCACTTTCCGAGGAGAGGGGACCAAACGCACCACCTGAACTGGGGGAACGCTGAAGTGGTGTCTTACCGAGCAACACTTGTCCTTTGAGGTTTGGGGGTGTCTTGAATTTCCTAAATGTCCACTGAGAAGCATCAAACATCTGTGAACTTAATCTACATTTTTTTTGGAATTTACATTCCAGCTAACTTTCATTTTCAGATGACTTGATTGTCTGGAAACACATCATCTGGTCTCTAAACTGTCTCTAACCCCAGATCAGGGACTGAGCACATTTTCTTAGCCTCGAAGGACCTCTCATGCCAGGGGGTTGGCCTTGGTCTTTGGGACACATCTGTGGCGATATTGGCCACTGTGCTCTAGGGTCTATATATCATGGTTTCTTTTTAGATGCAGTTAAAAAAAATGAATTGAGAATCCTGGTCTTCCCATCCTTCTCTGCTATTTAAAAATATAAAATCTGGTAGAGTTAAAAACGTGTTTGGGCTTCTCTCTTGGAAAATTTGCTTTTGAGATGAGAATCAATCAATGGGTTTATTTCTATTCAGTAAACTAGAATAGGTAGAATGGGCTCGATGTAGGCCTGAGAGCTTCCCTTCAGGTAGCTGAAGTGAACTTTATGAAAACACCTTGTAGGGCCTCTGGCCTTCTGAGGTCAGTCTGGCCCCTTTCCTCCCCCAGCAAACGTAGTGAAACTCGACAAGCGAGAGAATTCATAGAGGACACGTATGAGCCGAACGTTCGTTTCTGCAAAAAGGGGCCACGTGCCCCGTGCTCGGTGGGGCCTTTCTTCCTGGGGCGGGCCCCCCCCACCTGCCACTGCCACCTGCCACCTGCCTCCTGCCTGAAACGCACTCTCTGTGGCCACAGCTGCCGTGAGCTCTTCCGGACGGGGCGGCTGGACCCGTGGAATCCGTGGCTTGTCTCTCAGTGTCACCCTTCATGATGGAGGGTTTGCAGAAGCCGTGTCCTAACCCAGAGGCGTTTCCGGGCTTCTGATTTGGGGGGTGACCTCGGCTAACCTAAAACCCTGTGATGCTCTCGACACCACCCACTCCCGCATTGGCTTCCCCCACCGGAGGTTCGAGATGGACCCCTGGCATGTTGTGTGGGTCTGATGCCGGACTGTCATCTTCACCGCCCACCACGTGGACTAGGCCGAGGTGCCGAGTGACCACGTGGCAGTGCTGCAGCAGGGGTGGCTCCGGTGCTGCGACACCCTCTCCAGCCTGACCCAGGCCCACGGGCAGGGGCTCCGCCTGATGCTCAGCAAGGAGGTGAGACCCCAGGGGTAGTTGCAGGGAGACACGTACCTCCTCGGGGGGCAGAGGGGACGGATCCAGACTGCTCCCCGGTCACAACATTTCCACGTTGGGGTCAGGTCGCTCAGCAGGTGTTTATTCCGAATCCAGCCTGGGCCTTGTCTGCTGTAGGTCTCGGGGAGGTGACAGAACAGGACACGAGGTCCTTGGGGTCTCAGTCCTTGTGGAGGAAACGATGTGCCTGCGAAAGGGAGAAACAGATTATGGACACTGGTGGGTGTGGAGCAAGAATTGGAATTTCAAAATAATTTGCTTAGGGATAGATGTGAAATCAGTTGATGTAAATTTGGTATGTTTGGGTTTACATTCCTTGCTGTTCCCTGACTTGTTTTTGGATAGCCTTCTGTTCTGGAGGCCGGGACCCGAAGGACACAGCTTGTGCCATGTCCTACATGGCACACCTACATCCCACAGGCATCCCTCCGAGGCAGCAGCTGGGGCGAGCTGAGCTACACGATCCCTGAGGATGCAGACAGAGCCTGCTTCACAGGGCTTTTCCAGGCCCTGGACCGGAACCTTCACCACCTGTACCTGACGGGCTACGGGATCTCAGACACCAGCTTAGAAGAGGTACCTTCTGATGAAAGCTGCTTGAGCAGGCTTTTCTGATTTGCGCTTTGCCTCTCTGGGCATGATGGGGACCCTGTGCATTTTCATTCATTTCCCAGCTCTGACTGGCGTTTAATACACCCGACAGGTGACTGTGGTTCTTTAAGGGAAATAGCGTTTCTATATTCGAGAACTTTGGTGTCTTTAATCCAGAATCACTGGCTGTCCAGACAGTTTCAGTAGCGGGAGTCTGCCTGGTCATATTTCTTCACCTGGAGGCGCCTTTCTCTTTCCACTGTGGACCTAGTCCTGCCCAGAAGTCCCGGCCCACGGGGGGCAAAGATGTGCAGAAGGTCACGCAAGGGAGCAATGTGCCCCCCACTCTGCTCCCCTCTCCCTGGGACAGAGCCGGCCGGCACCAGCCCCTCGGGGTGGGTGTGGTTTCTTTGCAGGCATGTCTGGTCTTTGGAGGAGCAGGTCCTGGGACAGACAGCTCACTGATGTGTCACAGCCCCAGCTGCTGTGTTCAGGATATAGTTTTAAGAGAAGAGAACTTTTTAAAGGAATCTTTAAAAAATCACCCGGGGCTTCCCTGGTGGCACAGTGGTTGGGAGTCCGCCTGCCGATGCAGGGAACACGGGTTCGTGCCCTGGTCCAGGAAGATCCCACATGCCGCGGAGTGGCTGGGCACGTGAGCCATGGCCGCTGAGCCTGAGCGTCCAGAGTCTGTGTTCCGTAGCGGGAGAGGCCACAACAGTGAGAGGCCCACGTACTGCAAAACAAAAGCAAAAACAAAAACATCACCCGGATGCTTTTGTGTGTGTGTGTGGGATCTAGTTCCCCGACCAGGGATCGAACCCCTGCCCCCTGAATTGGAAGTGTGGCGTCTCAACCACTGGACCACCAGGGAAGTCCCCTGGGTGCTTTTTTTTTTTTTTAAAGCTTTATTGTATAATTGATATAAAAAATCTCCATATACTTAATGTATACAGTTTGATTAGTTTGTGACATCATCACTACAATCAAGGTAGTAAACATTCACAAATCCAAAAATGTTCTCGTGCATCTCCCTCTTTTTTTTTATGTGTGCTAAGAACACATGATTTGAGAGCTGCCCTCTCAGTAAACACTTTAAGTTGGCTCTGGGCACAGTGTTGCCTGCACAGCTCTGGAATCTAATCATCTTGCTTAACTGAAACTTTATACCTGTTGAACGACAAATCCCCTATCCCCTCCCACACCTTGGCAACCACAATTCTATGCTCTGTTCCTATGAGTTTGACTAGTTTATTTCTCACCTAAGTGGAATCAAAAGTATTTATCCTTCTGGGTCCAGCTTATTTCACTTAGTGTAATGTCCTCCGACTTCACCCATGTTGTCACACGTGATAGGGTTTCCCTCCTTTTTATGGCTAAATAATATTCCATTATATATATATATATGAGTGTACAAGGGTTCTAACTAACCTTTCCATATTCTTGCCAAAAGTTTCTGCACAGCAAAAGAAACAACAGAATGAAAAGGCAACCTACAGAATGAAAGAGAATATCTGCAAACCATATATCTGATAGGGGGTTAATATGCAAAATGTATAAGGCACTCCTACAACTCAATAACAAAGAAACAAATAACCCGATTTAAAAATGGGCAAAGGACCTGAACAGACATATTTCCAAAGAAGACGTACAGATGGCCAACAGTTGCATGAAAAGATGCTCAACATCACTAACATCAGGGAAACAGAATTCAAAACCGTGATGGGCAACACCCCACGTGTGTTAGGATGGCTACTTTATATATATATATATATATATATACACACACACACATATAAAAAACAAGATAACCTGATGTTTATTAAATTGGCAGTTTCTTAGGCCCAATTTCCACAAATGTTGATTCCAAAGACTTAGACATTTACATTTTTAAGCAAGCACCCCAGTTTTCCTTTGATTTAGGTGGTCTGTGGTCACTGCTATGAAAAACACCCTATAAGCGTCTCTTTAAGTTCAAATTTGATGTGAAACTTCGCAAATCCATCTAATAGAGAGCGAATCTGGGAAACTGTTGTTTTCTGCCTGTAAGACTCTGCTGTGCCTTTTTTCTAAGAAGCCATATTTCCACCCCTCCCCTGCCTTGCGAGATCTGAGATTGCACTGAAATTCTTATAACTCTATGGTTGTCAGCATCACTTCACCTAAACTTCTCTTTTCTCCCTCAGTTTAATCCTCTGTATTTCATTCTTTTTTTTTTTTTTTTTTTGCGGTACGCGGGCCTCTCACTGTTGTGGCCTCTCCCGTTGTGGAGCATAGGCTCTGGACGCGCAGGCTCAGTGGCCATGGCTCACGGGCCCAGCCGCTCTGCGGCATGTGGGATCTTCCCAGACCAGGGCACGAACCCATGTCCCCTGCATCGGCAGGCGGACTCTCAACCACTGCGCCACCAGGGAAGCCCTAATTCTTTTTTTTAAGCAACTTTATTCAAGTATAATTTACATACTGTAAAATTAGCTGACTTTAAATAGATAATTCATTAATATTTAGTAAATGTACTGAGTTGTGCAGCCATCACCATAATGCAGTTTGAGAAGTTTTAGTTTGTTTTTCATTATTATTCATTTTTAAAATTGGAGTATAGTTGCTTTACAATGTTGTGTTAGTTTCTGCTGTACAGCAAAGTGAATCAGCCACATGTATACATATGCCCCCTCCTTCTTGGACCTCCCTCCGGTTCCCCGCACAGTCTCACCCCTCTAAGTCATCACAGAGCACCGAGCTGAGCCTGTGCTTCATTCTTAATTGCTCCTTCCTGTGATGATGGGAAGTGATTTCGGCAACGATTAATCTGGAGGAGCTGCAGCCTCTCGTTTGCTTTCTCAGACCATCCTGTTTGCACAGCCCATCCTACCCGGGAGGCCATCCTTCTCTGCCTCTTCACAGAGCTGTTGCAGATTCTGTGTGTCTCCTAGGCTTGACTGTGGCGTTAGACGCAGAGCTGTCTTTGCTTCTTCGTCCCCATTTCCTCAAGCTTCAAACACATGCAGGAGAGGTGGAGAGGAGACGTGTCTGCTGCCAGTTATACACGCCAAAGAAGGTTTGTGTGCCGCGTTCGCTAAAATCAGCAGAGGGCTGACCGTGGGTGCTTTGCAGAAAACCGTCTGCCAGAATGAAAATGGGAATGAAATAGGCTTGGGCGGGTTAATGCTGGTGCCAGAAAGCAGCAGCTTCCGCTGGGGCCTCGGGAAGCGGGGAAAGTGTGTGGAGACGGAGTTCTCGCCAGCGCGCAGATCAGACCTGCCAGAGAAAGTGCCTAAGGCTGGTGATGAATAGTTACAATCTTCACTTCCTGAACTGGAATCACATCTTCTCATGAAATATTTGACAAAGAATGTGTTTTACTTCTCTTAGGGTAGTCACTGCCTCAGACTTAACGACAGGACATCTTGGGGAAACCTTTGTGGGCCTGTCGGTCTTCGAGAAGCTGAAGACAGACGTGCCCTCGAGGGCACCCTCCTCCACACTCACCTCCTGGCCAGAGCGGAGGCGGGTTGAGCCGGGCGTCCTGAACCGGTACCTCCGTTCCCTCCTCCCTGATGGCATGAGATGCCGTGGGGTGTCTGAGCAGCTCTCTTTGCCTCTCTTAAAACCACAAACTCATCTCTTTGCCTCATCACCCACTTCAGCGTTCTTGTTTACACTGATTGAAATCAGATTGAGATGGACCCACAGCTGGTGGCTTGAAGATGGCTTTGTGTGAGGCCCATCAGGCATGACTGTTACAGCCGAGAGAGGACGTCGGGGGTGGGGGGTCTGGGGAAATGCACAGGGGGTGTTTCCCAAGTAGGAAGAATGGCCTTGGGGTGGGGTTGGGGGGAGCCTCAGCTCAGTGAGGTGAGAAACAGACGGGGGTGCTGGGTACAGCATTTGGTCAGCGTCCATCCGTCCCTCATCCATCTGACCCACGCAGAGCAGAACCAGAGGTGAGGGCCGAGGCTGAGGTCGCGATGGGGATGCAGCAGGAGGTGTCCCCAGGTCCTTTTCCTAACCATCTGTTAGAACTTTGGAGGGAGCTCAGGTTTGGAAACCCAAGTGTGAGGCTGTTGAGAAGCTTCAGGAGGACCTGTCTTTGGTGCATTTAAGACAAAACCCAAATTCTGAGCTTGCGACCAGCCCAGGGGATGTATGTAGTTGGTGGCAGAGCCAGGCTGTACCCTGGTTCTCTGAAGGTCAAGTCACTATCTTTTCAAGGCAGGTTTAAACAAAGGGGTTTCAGCAACCTTTAAATTATTCAAAAAACGTGGCTAGGTGTAAGGGATGACCCTATTCCAAAGTGAAATCCTAATTTGATTCTTTTAACATTTTGGGTATCACGATCATAATGCTTTTTAAAAAAATTTTATTGAAGCATAGGTGATTTATAGTGTTGTTTTGTACAGCAAAGTGACTCAGTTATACATATACATACATTCTTTTCCATCTTCTTTTCCATGTGGTTTATCACAGGATATTGAATATAGTCCCCTGTGCTCTACTGTAGGACCTCGTTATTTATCCATCCCATATATACTAGTTTGCATCTGCTGACCCCAAACTCCCAGCCCTTCCCTCCCCCAAACCCCCTCCCCCTTGGTAACTACAAGTCTGTTCTCTATGTCTCTGAGTCTGTTTCTGTTTCATAGGTAAGTTCATTTGCATCATATTTTAGATTCCACATAGAAGTGATATCATATGGTATTTGTCTTTCTCTGTCTGACTTAATTCACTTAGTATGATCACCTCTAGGTCCATCCATGTTGCTGAAAATGGTATTATTTCATTCTTTTTTATGGCTGAGTAGTATTCCATTGTGTATATGTGCCACATCCTCTTTATCCACTCCTTTGTTGATGGACATTTAGGTTGCTTCCATGTCCTGGCTATTGTAGATAATGCTGCAGTGAACATCGGGGTACATGTATCTTTTTAAATGGTTTTGTCTGGATATATGCCCAGTAGTGGGATTGCTGGGTCATATGGTAGCTCTGTTTTTAGTTTTTTAAGGAACCTCTATACTGTTCTCCATAGTGGCTGCACCAATTTACATTCCCTCCAACAGTGTAGGAGTGTTCCCTTTTCTCCACACCCTCTCCAGCATTTGTTATTTGTAGATTTTTTTGTTGATGGCTAATCTGACCGGTGTGAGGTGATATCTCGTTGTAGTTTTGATATGCATTTCTCTAATAATTAGTGATGTTGAGCGTCTTTTCAACAATCATAGTGCTTTTCAAAGAATCAGATCAAGGATATATACCTGTATAGCAATTGGAACCTTCAGTGGCTTTTCATGTAGAAAATTACACTATCACCTATTTTTTTCTTTTTTTAAGAAAAATGATGTACAATAAAATAGTATGGTTGTTACAAGAAAACAGGTAAAGCATCATAAAAGTTGGGTAATATAGAGCTGTGAGATTATTATTAAAACAATATAGATAAATATAGTCTACTTGTTAGCTTTTTAAAGAATTAAACATAGGACTCCTTTTGCTTTTCAAAAGCAAGATTACAGTAATCTAGCATGGTTTTAAATTTTGTATATTTTTATATTACCATGTTTAATATTTAAGAAATAATTGTATTTTGTTGGTTTTTGTTTTTTTGTGGGTTTTTTTGCGGTATGCGGGCCTCTCACTGTTGTGGCCTCTCCCATTGCATAGCACAGGCTCTGGACGCGCAGGCTCAGCGGCCATGGCTCACAGGCCCAGCCGCTCCGCGACATGTGGGATCTTCCCGGACCGGGGCACGAACCCGTGTCCCCTGCATCGGCAGGCAGACGCTCAACCACTGCGCCACCAGGGAAGCCCTGGATTTTGGGTTTTATGTTATATTAATAAGCAAACCAATGTATCACAAAATTTCTCCTTTCCTTTCACTTTTTTCCCATTTTTTTCGGTTTTCTCTTTTTTCTCTTTACCTCTCCTTCCCCCCCATCCCCCCCGTCCTTCCTCTCTTAATAGGAGGATATTTGATTTTGTTAGTTTTTCTTCTTTAAATGGTATGAATTATCATTCATAGTTCAGTCATAATTTGCATAAATGTCACACAATTATAGTCTTTACCAGGACAAAGATTGGGGACCACCCCACCTACGTCTTTTGTGCCCTGAATGGGGTCACTGGCGGCACACTGCCTGTGCAGACGTCAGTGTGTCCACACGAGGTTGGGATTCCCGAGTCCTGGTGCTGGGACACATTTTCAACATTAATGCCCATCTGCAGGTGTTTACCTGTTTGATTAAAAGCCTACCCCCCAGGAGCCATCTGGCACTGTTAGTTTTCCATACAGCTTGCTGATTCTGTTTTCTGGATTGGTGAGAACAGATGAAATGATTTAAGCCTTTTCCTGCCTGCTAATGATTTTGGAGTCCCAGATCATGACTGGGGCGCAGTAGAAAATATAGTCATCCCTCAGCATCCGAGGTGGGATTGGTTCCAGGACCCCTGTGAATACCAAAATCCCTAGATGCTCAAGTCCCTTATATAAAGTGGTGTAGTATTTACATATAACCTACACACATCCTCCTGTATGTTTTAAATCATCTCTAGATTAGTTATAATACCTGATACAATATATATGCTCAGTAAATAGTTACCAGTGTGTGACAAATACAAGTGTTGCTTTTTGGAACTTTCTGGAGTTTTTTTTCTTGAATATTTTCTGAGGCAGATATGGAGGGTCGGCCATATCCCTAATACCTGATGTACCATGTTTCTGACTCAGAACCCATGTCTACTCCAAGGAGATCCTCCCCACGCCAGGCACCCTCCCTACCTGTCAGAGAACACCTTTTACTCCTTGAATTTCTGGCAGTGGCAGCCCCTTGGAGAAGTCTGACCCACTGTTAAATACAGTACACTGTGTTGGTCAATTGTCATGTTTCATTACGTTTGACTCTATTAGAAGATTAAAAGCTTTGAGAACTTTATTCAAAGAGAAAACCTAGGGAACTAGCATAGCACTTACACGTAATAAATGCTGTGCTTTGTTCTCCCAAATTAACTCACTTCACAATTTCTCCTGAACTGTGTGTATTTATAAATAAGTGAAAGGTTTGAATCACATTATTTTAAAGATCCACAACTCTAAAATTCTCTTAACTCAGTGAACAAAGAAAGATACTATTTCTATTTCATAAAATCGTGCATCTCCCAAATAAGTATACAGTCTTTACAGAATAATTATTGATTACAAGATGCATAAATATTCATTGTTCAAAAAACCAGAAAACTGTGAAGAAGAAAAAGTAGCATGATCTCACCACACAAATAAATAGAAATCTTTAATAAGTAGGTTGAAAATGTATATAGTACTTTAACTTTTTAAAAAAGATTTATTTATTTATTTAGTTGCACTGGGTCTTAGTTGTGGCAGGTGGGTTCCTTAGTTGTGGCTCGTGGACTCCTTAGTTGTGGCATGCGAACTCTTAGTTGCAGCATGCATGTGGGATCTAGTTCCCTGACCAGGGATGGAAGCTGGGCCCCCTGCATTGGGATCACGGAGTCTTATCCACTGCGCCACCAGGGAAGTACCACTTTAATTTTTGAATCTAAAAAATCACTTGGTCAAATTCAAATAGTGTATAGAGTGTAGAAATTATTTCATAAAAGACAACAACTTTTCACTAAAGTATATACACCAAAACAGTAATAATTTTTCTAGGTTAATATTAGTATTGTTAGTAAATTATATTCATTCTATATGTGTTATTTTGTAACACATTTTTCTCCATTGAGTGGTTGTATTTTAAATTGTTCAATTAATCCCCTGTGTCAGACAACTTCTTGCTACTATACTTATAAGATGTAACAAACCACCTTGTTTGCTATATTTGATGAATTTCTATTGCTTTTTGACAAATCCAACTCTTGGATTGGAATTAAGCTGATCAAAGGTGGTTCATATTTGCCTCCCCCAGAAAGACTGAACAGGTCTGTTCTCCCAGCAGCACTGTTAAGAAGGCCCATTTCCTAAAACACTCAGTAATAATAGGGATGGACATTGTTTTTAATCCTTACCATATTGATAATCTGAAAATTTATTTTCCAGATACATTTTCTTACATAAAATATCTGATTTTGCAACAAACATATATTAGTTATTTTGTATTTTTTTTAAAAAGGAACTGCATATTCAGGCATGCTGTTTGCCCAGTTTTCTTTTGGAACATTCATTTTTCAAAAATTGACTTGAAGGCATTACATTTATAATGCTTTGTTTTAAAATCTTCACGAATATTTGGATGAACTTGGCAACGTGGAGATCGCATTCTGGGCTGGATGCTGAGTCTTTAAGTAATCTTTTAACGATTGAAGCCACCTGACCAAAAAGAGTCTTTGGACATCTTCCTTAAGCAATATTATGGTCAGTGTAAATGGGAGTGAATAATTATGGATGTAACTGGAGTCCTTGAATATAATTGCACTCATAAGTCAAATGAGATAATTCATAACAATTTGGTCCAGTATTCCAGTTTTGTCTGTTAAATTATTCATACGAATACTTTCATGAGTTTAGCTGTGAATATTTGATTGGTGGTTGGATAACTGACATCAACTATCTTAGCTCTTTATTTTTCCAATTTGTGTCTAATTAACATATATGGGAAGGTGGGGAAAATTTGTTTTTCTTAATATAAGAAACACCTTTCCCCACGGACTTACTGAGGCTGTCTGATGAGCATTTACTAGGACTGGTAGTTTCATAAATGTGGTAATAATAATCCTCATTACCTCAAGGGAAAATACTACAAGTCTCTATTTTACAACTGGGGGAAATGGCATCCAGAGAGGTTAGGTAAGCTTCCAGAAGTCACACAGCATGTTGGTGGCTGAGACTGGATTCAAATCCTGGTTTACATGGATTGAAAGATGGAGCCGTCCTCACGCCACAGTGACGCTTGTGGTGGTCCCCTATGGAGCATGGCCAGAGGGCACCGGGACGTAGTCTGACCCGGGCCCAGCTCCTCCATCACCAGGCAAATCCACCACCCAGATGGTCACGTGCTTTTTCCATTTTGTAGCGCCTGCTGTGCGGACAAAACCCTCTGTGACTTGAACAGGGGCTTGCAGTCACGGCCTGTGGTGCACGTATGTGAGAAGGTGCACAGTGTGGTAGCAGCTGCGGTGGCCAGATGTGCAGTCGAAGGATGCTGACCCGAGGGGTGTGGCTTCCGGCGGGCAGTGACCAGAGGTGTGGTGGAGGCACAAGCCCCCGGGCCCACCGGTGACTTTCAGGTCCTCTTGAATGGAAACAGTGAGGCGTCTGTCTTGGCGGTGAAACAGCTCCTGAGCCAGAGGCCGTGAGGACAGCAAGCAATCGTCTCAGCAGTCATTTTGGAATCTGGGGGTTTGGCAACCAACATCTCAGTTATTTCTGCTTGAGTTAGATAATTCATGTAATTACCCTAATAGGTCTGCATACATAATGCCATGCATCAGTATTATCCGACATTAGAATCTCCTAAAATGATCAGTAAGGGGGTATTTTGTATTCGTGTCTACGTTTATATGATGAAGGATCAAATTTAGCTTAATATACCTTTTCTAGCACTAGAGTCTCTCTATCTGCTGATTTAATAATGCTTTATGAGAGTTATATATGAATCACCATTAGTTGTGCATTAAATCACAATTCTTTTTTTTTTTTTTTTTTTTTTTCTCGGTATGCGGGCCTCTCACTGTTGTGGCCTCTCCCGTTGCGGAGCACAGGCTCCGGATGCGCAGGCTCAGCGGCCATGGTTCACGGGCCCAGCCGCTCTGCAGCATGTGGGATCTTCCCAGACCGGGGCACGAACCCATGTCCCCTGCATTGGCAGGCGGACTCTCAACCACTGCGCCCCCAGGGAAGCCCAAATCAGCAATTCTGTAACCCAGCTGAGCATCAGAATCCCCTGGGAAGCTTTGTTTTCTTCTTTTTCTTTTTAAAGCAGATTTTAATCTCTGAGTCTGTGAAGATCTGATTCTGTCTGAGGTGGGACCTGGAAATAAGCATTTAAAACAAGGTCCCCAGGTGAATCTGAAATGTAGCCGGAAGTATTAACGACTATTTTCACCACAAGCCCAGCCTCATGAGACAGCGCTGCTTGTTTTATAATAAAATGTTACTTTGTATCATAATGTGCATCTCATCATGTGACCTTCAGTGCAGTAAAGCCTGTCAACCCTAATCTTCAAAGCATCTGGTAAAGGGCTTCACCTTCTTCCACCTGCCACGCGTACTCAGCGCTTCACACAGTTATCCGCCGAATATGCCACGCTGGTTAATAGCTCATGTGCTGGTCTTTAAACATCCAGATTTCCTTGACTGCCTTCAAACATCTCCTGGTGGGTCTTAAGGATTCTGCCTAAATGTCCCCACTTTCCCCCTAAACCTCCCAAGACTGCGTCTTTGATTCCAATCCTTGAAGCACTGCCCACCACATTACACTAGTTTACAGTGTGTTGGGTTGTTTACATTTTTATCTCAATCCCTGTGTTACACCTTTTTTGAGGACAGAAACCAAAGAGCCAGAGCCTGCACACGCTGGCTCTCAGGGAGGATCTACAGATGAGGGGGTTCTTTCAGATACGCATTTTCTTCTCCAGCTGTGCCTCTGCAGCTCTGCTCTCAGTGCTTTTATCTTTCAAGATGGTAGTTTCTTTAAAAATGTTTTCTTCCGGGACTTTAAACTTATTCACTGCTCTTTTATTAACTGTATTTCAGTTTGATGTTTGTAAGCAGTACAGTCAATTTAGCATATCTGTTCTTTGTTTCTTCCTTTTTTTTTTTTTTTTTGGACGCACTGCATGGCTGGTGGGATCTCAGTTCCCCGACCAGGGATTGAACCTGGGCCGCGGTGGTGAAAGTGCAGAGTCCTAACCACTGGACCGCCAGGGAGCTCCCACATCTGCTCTTTCAGAGGCCGCTTTTCTTGTGCGATACTTTAGGAGGAACCAGTGGGGGGGTCCGTGGGCCTGGCCGAGGTTCAGTGCGTCGTCCTTTAGATGTGCCTGGCTGGAGGCTGCAGTCCATGGGCCTCTCTGTTTGCTCCCAACTTTGCATCCTCAGCTGTATACAGAATCTGCTCTCACGGGCTGTTTGGCCGGAATGGGGGCAGGTTCACTGCACAGAGTCTGTGGACCCCAATGACCGCCCTACGAGGGAGCCTGGCAGGAGGACCGGGCCAGGTCGCCCAGTTCGTGCTGTGCTTTCCGGGTTTACCTTTTGCCTCTCTGTTTGAGGAGGGCTGTTATCAGATTTGCCGCGTAAGGAAGGGAGGCCGGTGCTGAGGCGAGGCCGGGACCCCCTGCCCCGGCCCCGTGAGGCTGCCCCAGCTCCTCCTCACCGGGGATGCCCCGGATGTGGTGGAGGATGCAGGGTGCGGGGGTCCGCAGGGACCTGGGGAGAGGCAGGCATGGTGTCGTCCGAATCCTGACCAGGATGTAACCTGCGAGGGGGAAGACATGGGCTGAGAACAGAGGAGGAGAGCCAGGAGAGGGGGTGCCCTCTCTGCCATCTCCCACCCCTCCCTCGGGGACCTTGGAACGTCTTGGTTTTGTACTTTTTTTTTTTTTTTTTTTTTTTGCGGTATGCGGGCCTCTCACTGTCGTGGCCTCTCCCGTTGTGGAGCACAGGCTCTGGATGCACAGGCTCAGCGGCCACGGCTTATGGGCCCAGCCACTCCGCAGCATGTGGGATCTTCCCGGACCGGGGCTCGAACCCACGTCCCCTGCATTGGCAAGCGAACTCTCAACCACTGTGCCACGAGGGAAGCCTGGTTTCGTACTTCTTGTGCGAGAATGCAGGCTCATGTCGCAGGCTTTGTTTTAACCCGTGAGAATAAACACAAGCCCCGTCTCCCCATCCTTTTGCGCCTGCCTGCCCCCCTTCAGAAGTAGGAGCAGAGTGGGGGCCACCGAGACTTCTGTCCTTGTGTTTCATATCGCGAGACGCCCCGTGTGTGTAACTTTCTGGTGTGTCCTTAGGGTAGAGTGGGAGCCGCTGGTGCTCCTGGGCTCAGGGATCAGTGAAGGGACCTGCACGACGGGCGGCGTGTCGGGGATGCCACGTGGGCCCTGGGCACTGACCTGCCGTATCTTCCCGTCCCCTCAGACGGCACGCCTGCTGGGCCCCCCTGGTGCGGGGCGGCGCCCTGCTCTGGGCACAGACGGCCGCCCTCCTGCTGAAGCGGCTCCGCCGCTCGGGTCGGGCCTGGAAGGGCACCGCCTCCGACCTGCTGCTGCCCGTGCTCTTCGTGGCCTTGGCGATGGGCTTGCTCATGGTGAGGCCTTTGGCCGTCGGCTGCCCTCCCCTCAAACTGACACCTGGCCATTACGACATGGCCCAAACCTACTTTTTCAGGTAAGAACATTTTTTGGCTTCTTCCCTTCTATTTCCAAATTATGTCAGGACAGATTAGGAATAGCAGTAGCTCTGAGTCTTTAAGAATTTCGAACATACATGCGTTGTCATCGTTTTGGAGGTCGGTGTTCCCGAGGGTGAGCACTGAGAAGCTCCTGCTTCTTTCGGGGCCTGTCTTACGACAGCTGCTGAGGACAGATGCGGCAAGCCTGGTCCAACCTCTGTGCCCCCCGGGCTCCCCTTGGTGGAAGGGGACACGGCAGCTGACATGCAGAGAGTGGGGCTCACAACCGCCCACGGGCCCTGAGTGGGGCTGCATGTGGTCCAGAGTGGTTAGGACTTTAGAAGAATATATACATTGTCTATTTCACAAACCCTCCAAGGCTGCTTCTGGGACACCGGCCCTTAGCTGCACGCCCCCCTCTGCAGAGAAATGTCTGGATTTTCTCTCTAAACAGGAGGGGGCCCCGGCACAGCCCCAAGCCAGATTAAGTCCTGTTCTGCCAATACGTTCAGGCCAGTCTGAGTGTTGCCGCCAGATGAGTTTACGTAGGAAATTCTCAGAGCCTCCAGGGGTGTTGTTTCACCCACGGGGGGCTGGGGACCCGGGAGAGGTCCCAGCCTCCTGAGAGCCTCGCCCTGGGTGGGCTGGTCCCTCTGGACCAAGTTCAGAGCATCTTCGCTGAGCATCTGCCACGGCCGGGATCTGGGCGTCTTTACACCAAGTGCCGAGCCTGGACCATCTTCCTTCCAGCAGGCCCTGCTCAGTCCCATCGGGGCCAAGACCCGGACTCGGGGCGCCTGGTCCACACTGAGCAGGCATCTTCATCGGGCCGAGCATGGTGGGGGCAGCCAGGAGGTCGGGGGTAGGTTTGCTTTTGTCAAATGCGTATCTTGATGAAAGTACTGAGCTGCATTGTCTAGGCTCTGAGTCCTTGCTGATCTTTTGCCACTTTTACAACGGTATGTGTTGTGGAGTTAAACAAATAGAGGCACAAAAGGAAAAGTCGAGAATGAACTGTTTGGTTGGCTTCTATCTCCCTGGTAACGGGATCCCCCCACCCCCCCCCACCTTTGTGTGAAGAACCATGCATCTGTCCCGAGCATTCCTTTCCAAGAGGGGTCCTCCTCTCTGGCCCAGTGCTTTATTTACCTGCTCTCACCCCTCATTTATGGAATGGTTAAATGTGTGAGAATGTCCACTAATGCTTCTTACTGGCCGGATGTTCAGATTTCTGTTGCACTCCTCAGGTATGTAAGAGCTGTGACTATTTTGAGCTTTTCAGTTACAAAATTGCAACTGTCCCTTTTTTTTCCACCTTCATACATTTCCATCACAAGTTTTTCAGGGGTAACATCAGTATTTTCAGGAAGCTGAGGAGGCTTCTTACATATCTGATGCTCATTTTCTCATCCTTACAGACGGGCCGGGCCATGGGATAGGGTGTGTGATCTGTCAGAAATCGCGTATTTCCCCTCTTCTAATCTCTAGTTTCAGACTAGGCAGAAAGAACGAGTTTCCGCGTCGTTAGTTTTTGTTTAGTAGAGTAGCAGTCTACCTAGTTATGAGGGAAAACTATAAAACGCTGCCCGAGATGGCTCACGCGGATGCAGACTCCCCTGCTCTTCTGGGCTCTCCTCGTGGGCGAGGAGGGGCCTCTACCCCTTCGGGATGCACAGCTGCTCTGCTTAGGGCTCAGCACGGACACCACTACCTCCTTCTGTGTCCTCCTTCTGCTCTAGTGGGGTGACCACGTGTCCTGCCTTGCTCAGAGGTGAGGCCTGTCATCTTGGCGTCCATATTAATCATGCCCTTTCACTCTCAGAAGTGTCCTGGAAACCGTGTCTCAGTTTCAGAAAGAAAGTCCTGTGTAGGCAAGTGACTCTCAGTTGCTGTTACTTTATTTATTTAGTTCTGGTTCAAGGTGTCTATTCATTCAGCGAATTTGCTTTTATTGTGGTAAAATATATACAACACAAATTTTACCATTTGAGCTATTTTTAAGTGTATCCGCATTATATTCACTGAGCATCTGTGCTGTTTGAGTTTCTCTGGCTGCTGGGACCCTCGGCCGTGTCTGTCCTGAGATGCCCAGGCAGCCACGCTCCCTGGCTCAGGAGTAGGAAGGCGTCTGCTTTCCTCCTTCGGGCCAAGAGACCAGGGAGGCTGAAGTCCGCAGGTCTCCGAGGGCCACCTTCTGCAGGATGGCCCTTTTTCCTCCCCACCTCGGGTGCTCTGCACCCGTTCTTCAAATGCCGTTCCTGTGTTGCCCGGCCTGAGGCACCTCTGCCTGTGGAAGCTCCCACGGAGCCCGCCGACCCCTGGAGCCGTTGCCGGTCAGTCCAGGGCTGGCACGGGGCAGGGGTATGGGGGGAGGCCCATGCAGGCTGCTTTCTCGAGTTGGTTTGATCTCCATCTGCGTCAGAGTCATCTGGGAGTCTTGTTAACACGAAGCCCCTTGGGGTGCTGGTGAAGAATATGCGCTGGTTCAAGCAAGCCCCTGATCACGCTGCTGCACGTGGAGTTTTGAGAAATGCTGACGTGGAGAGGAAGCAGTGCCCCATGTAGGAAATGCCTCAGGAATCCCAGTCAAGCACTCTTTCCAATCCCTAGAGTCTGGTAAGGACAGGCTTCATGTGCTTCTAACAGCACTTTAAATACAGCCAAGCGTTTGAAGACAACCAAAAAGAAATAATTTAAGAACAAGCATTTGAATTTTATGGCAACAGGGATAGTTTAAAGCTAGTTCTTTTTTCCTTGTTTTTCAAGTGACCTCTAGACCTAAGCCAAAAAGTAGTAAAAAGTAAACCATAACTTTGAAACTTGCTCTTAGTAATTATTCCAAGTAAACTACTTTGTGGATCAATATTTTTTTTTCAGAAAAAAAACATTTCAAACTTTCATATTTGTTCTTGGGTTAATGGGCCAAAAGAGAGCTATTCAGAGTATTTCCACAGATGCCACAAATAACGTTTTCATTTTATGGGCAACATTTCCATGGAAAATACGTCCCTTTCCTTCTAAAAGTGTGTTCTCATTTGTCAGAAACAGAGGTCACGCTGCCTACTTATGAGACATAGCTTTGTTGTAAATTTCAGCATCTTTCATCGCTGTGTGTTTCTGGACACAGCTGTATGGAATCAGATTAGGCCAGTTGTAAACCACCTGGATATTTAAAAATCTTGGTTGTATTTCATGCAGTGGGGAAGAAGGTGTTTTCCTAGAAATAGTTATTCTTTTTTTTTTTGCGGTACACGGGCCTCTCACTGTTGTGGCCCCTCCCGCTGCCGAGCACAGGCTCCGGACGCGCAGGCTCAGCGGCCATGGCTCACAGATCCAGCCGCTCCGCGGCATGTGGGATCCTCCCGGACCGGGGCACGAACCCGTGTCCCCTGCATCGGCAGGCGGACTCTCAACCCCTGCGCCACCAGGGAAGCCCGTAGTTACTCTTTCTGGTTTTGGATGCTATAGCGGTGTTCACATTCCAACTTAGGCCTGAAAGTAAAGCTGTCCTCAGCTCGGTGTAGTGAGCTGTTCTTTCTTTTCCATTTATAATCGGTCCTTTCCGAAAGGTAAGAGGTCTGGGAAGATCACATTGCGGGAAGTAAAATAACTGGGTAGAGATGAAGGAGTAGGCCTACGATTTCAGTGCATTAGCAAGATGACAGTTTGTTCCACAGAGTGCTTTTGAGAATCGGCTGTGTTCTGACTGCTGTCCTAAGCCTTCCCATTTCTCTCATGGATTGTTTTGTTCCGCGATGAGAAGCCCACAGTTAAGCCAGTGGAGATGTTGCAGCCACTGGGAGGAAACGGGTTAGAAGAGGTGGCAGAGGGGGGCTCACAGGAGGAGGAACTTGGGGCTTAGTGGCTGGAGACGGTGTCCAACCAGGCAGCAGGGAAGCGGATGCCCTTCAGAGGGAGCTGGTCCGCCCCGTCAGAGGGCGGTTCCCCTGGGCTGGGCGGGGGTGCCTTCTGGGAGAGAAAGTCGGGAAGAGCAGGAAGGGACTTGAATACTCTTTCAAGGCTCATAGGTGACAGGGAACCAGTGATATATTTTGAGCAGAGAATACACCAGGTTGCTGCATGAGAGGCTCACTGCCGATTATGGAAATTGGGAATCTCTGTAAAGTCCCCGTCTGTGCTGAGGCTGCACTGCTCGAGGATGGACATTGCGCCTCATTCTGGGCTTTGACGTGTACTTTCAGGAAGTGGGGTGCACGAACCTCACCTACCCAGACCTCCCCAGGTTTAATCGCTGGTAGAAAGTCAAAAGGTGTTCAGGAGTCAACTCTGCTTTGTCTATAAACAAAGAAATCGATTAGAAGAATCAGTGGTTGAAGGTTACTTTGCAGTGTCTACAGTTCTTAAGAGAAGCTAATGTTGACGTTCTTTAGAAAAAAACATTTATGCTCATTTGTTAATTTATATACTGCTTCTTTCCAAAAATTTGAGGTCATCGTTCACATGCAAATGATCTATCATTTTTTCCTTTATTTTGAGGATAAGTGTTCCCAGCGATGTCTATTCAAAAGCATTTTGTAAATTACATGATATAAGTTCTAGAAAGTAATAAATCTCTATTCTTTCATAAACACTTATCATCCAGAATTTTAATTAATTGAAATGAGCCCCACTTCTAATCAGCCAGGTTTAAGATATCGTCTCCTTTACATTTTCTCAAGCCAAGATATTTCTTACAATTGATGGATAAAATTTAATGTAGAGTTTGTTTCTGTATCTCTCCCAGACGATAAGAATAGTGCGTCTTATCTTTGATGGTGTCTTCAATAAGGAGATTCCATCTTGGTGGCCTTGGTTCCCATGGATGCTGCTTGAACTGTGAACAGACTTCTGAGATTTGTGCCAGTAAAAGAGATACTATAATTCATTGTGTCCTTAAAGCATACATAAGACTTCTTACCAAGAAAATGTTCAATATAATTCACATATAGAAACACACAAGAAAACAGATAGAAGTTGTTTTGTGGGACTTCCCTGGAGGTCCAGTGATTAAGACTTCGTGCTTCCACTGCAAGGGATACGGGTTTGATCACTGGCCGGGGAACTAAGGTCCCACGGCTGTGCAGCGCAACCAAAAACATAAATAAATAAAATAAAAAAATTAAACGACTTTATGAAAAGCAGAAGTTGTTTTGTTGCAGGGCTATGCTATAGGACACATACTGATAGCAAATCAGAGCTCTAGCAGTCAGAGAATAGTTTTATAGACTTTAATGTAGTAACATGATGTAATACAATGCAGCCTTTAAAATTAATTTTTAAAAAACATACAAAAATGCCAGAGTTGGTAATATTATAATTTAAGTGAAAGGATGAGACAAATAATACACTTGAATGCAAGTATATAAAAATGCATTATCTGTGGTGGTAAAACCGTGCTTTTAAGACATCTCTTCATCCGGTTGCTGGTTTGGCTTCACCATAAAAAAGGTGAACGATTAGCTCTATCTGTGCTGCTAGGAACATGTGCCTGGACAGTTGGCCTGGGCTCTCTCTGACAGACTGTCCTGTGAGCTCCCAGGCAAGTACTAACCTCCCACCTTGTTTCCTTTGTCTCATGACAAGCAGCAGTGAGAACGGTGACGTGGAGCTCGGCCGCGTGCTTTTGCAGAAGTTTGGGGCTCAGGACCTGCTCTGTGCTGACTTACACTCAGACCTGTAAGTGTCCGATGCAGAAATGCAGCCTCCAGCCAGCCGCCCCCAGGCTGGCAGGACTGGCTTCTCCAGGACTGTGTCACCTGTTCTCACTGCAGGGCTGGGACTGAGCAGGCCTGAGGGTGCTGCCGTCTAAAATGACCTGAGGTAAGCTTCATCATCGCCCCTTCCCTTCCTTGGTGAATACATGCTTTATATCATTGCAAAAAACATTAATTAACAATGAATAACATTCCCTTTGCTAACTAAAACCCCCAAAGAACAAAGCTAAAAGAATAAGGTAGCAATTAAGTATGAAATATGTAGTAACTGTTGTTTGCTTTTGGGGTAAACTTGTACCTATGAAAAGATTAATTGTACTTTTTTTAACTAAAGGGAGTGAAAAAGTCCGTAACATCAGTGCGGGTGTGAATTACTTTGAAGACTTTTTTTTTCTAGGTTTTGCAAATGATACTATAGAGATGACCTTTCATGAAACCTTGATAAAACATGCCTTTCTTCATAAACATACCTTTCTTCTCTCTTTCTTATTTTGCTCGACTGTTATTTATTGAGGATCTACTATAAATATCATGTTGTTGTAGGAACCAGGATTGATGGAGCACATGGCCCCCGCCTCAAGAATTTACAAATGGGGAAAGTGATAAAAACCATAATGATGTATTAAGTACTAAAGTGTATGGTTTTCGTAATAAATATAAAAATCCAGACAGTAATACAATATTGGCATATGTTTTCCTAATTTGGGATGACATTCTGTGCATTAGTCATGTTGGTGATTAGCACAAGACCGAGTAACGGTTAGCGGTCTCAGTGAGGAAGAATTAATAGAAAATTAATTACATTGTTTCACTTTAGTTTTCTCTTGAAAAAGAAAGTCATTTTTTTTTAACTAAATAAAAGCTTCCATAGTGATGCTTTTATTTCCCTTCTGTCCAAAGAAACACACAGGATGTAAAAAGCGTCTACCTTTGAGAAATTGAAATATAACCTGTGGCCCTGAAGGGTGTAGTCTGGGCCCAACCTGGCAACAAAGAAAGAACAGTTGGCAGAAAAAAAGGTATATATATATATTTTATTGGAGTATAATTGCTTTACACTGTTGTGTTAGTTACTGCCAAACAGTGAAGTAAATCAGCGATATGTATACATATATCCCCTCCCTCTTGGACCTCCCTCCCCCTCCCATCCCATCCCACCCATCTAGGTCATCACAGAGCACTGAGCTGAGCTCTCCACCTTCCCCCATGTGTCTGCACATCCGTTCTCTATGTCTGTGTCTCTATTCCTGCCCGGGAAATAGGTTCATCTGTAATATTTTTCTAGATTCCACAAATATGCGTTAATATATGATATTTGTTTTTCTCTTTCTGATGTACTTCACTCTGTATGACAGACTCTAGGTCCATCCATATCTCTACAAATGATCCAATTCCATTCCTTTTCATGGCTGAGTAATGTTCCATTATATATATGTATCACATCTTCTTTATCCATTCCTCTGTTGATGGACATTTAAGTTGCTTTCATGTCCTGGCTATTATAAATAGTGCTGCAATGAACATTGGGGTGTGTGTATCTTTTTGAATTATGGTTTCCTCCAGGTATATACCCAGGAGTGGGATTGCTGGATCACACAGTAGTTCTATTTTTAGTTTTTTAAGAAACCTCCATACTGTTCTCCATAGTGGCTGTATCAATTTACATTCCCACCAACCGTGCAGGAGGGTTCACTTTTCTCCGCACCCTCCAGCGTTTATTGTTTGTAGATTTTTTGATGATGGCCATTCTGACCAGTGTGAGGTGATACCTCATTGTAGTTTTGATTTGCCTTTCTCTAATGATTAGTGATGTTGAGCATCTTTTCATGTGTTTGTTGGCAATTTGTATATCTTCTTTGGAAAAATGTCTATTTAGGTCTTCTGCCCATTTTTGGATTGGGTTGTTTGTTTTTTTGATATTCAGCTGCATGAGCTGTTTGTATATTTTGGAGATTAATCCTTTGTCTGTTGCTTCATTTGCAAATATTTTCTCCTGTTTTGAGAGTTGTCTTTTCACCTTGTTTATGGTTTCCTTTGCTGTGCAACAGCTTTTGAGTTTAATTAGGTCCCATTTATTTATTTTTGTTTTTATTTCCATTTCTCTAGGAGGTGGGTCAAAAAGGATCATGCTGTGATTTATGTCATAGAGTGTTCTGCCTGTGTTTTCCTCTAAGGGTTTTATAGTGTCTGGCCTTACAGTTAGGTCTTAGTCCATTTTGAGATTATTTTTGTGTATGGTGTTAGGGAGTGTTCTAATTTCATTCTCTTACATGTAGCTGTCCAGTTTTCCCAGCACCACTTATTGAAGAGGCTGTCTTTTTTCCATTGTATATTCTTGCCTCCTTTGTCATAGATTAGGTTACCACTGCTGCATGGATTTAGCTCTGGACGTTCTATCCTGTACCACTGGTCTATATTTCTGTTTTTGTGCCAGTACCATACTGTCTTGATTACTGTAGCTTTGTGGTATAGTCTGAAGTCAGGGAGTCTGATCCCCCCAGCTCCATTTTTCCTTCTCAAGATTGCTTTGACTATTCAGGGTCTTTTGTGTTTCCATACAAATTTTAAAACTTTTTGTTCTAATTCTGTGAAAAATGCCATTGGTAATTTGATAGGGATTGCATTGAATCTGTAGATTGGTTTGGGTGCTACAGTCATTTTCACTATATTGATTCTTCCAATCCAAGAACATGGTATATCTCTCCATCTGTTTGTGTCATCTTTGATTTCTTTCATCAGTGTTTTATAGTTTTCTGTGTTCAGGTCTTTTGCCTCCTTAGGTAGATTTATTCCTAAGTATTTTATTCTTTTTGTGGCAATGGTAAATGGGATTGTTTCCTTAATTTCTCTTTCTGATCTTTCATTGTTAGTATATAGGAATGTAAGAGATTTCTGTGCATTAATTTTGTATCCTGCAACTTTACCAAATTCAGTGATTAGCTCCAATAGTTTTTTGGTAGCACCTTTAGGGATCTCTATGTTTAGTATCATGCCATCTGCAGACAGTAACAGTTTTACTTATTTTCCAGTTTGGATTCCTTTTATTTCTTTTTCTTCTCTGATTGCCATGGCTAGGACTTCCAAAACTATGTTGAATGACAGTGGCGAGAGTGGACATCCTTGTCTTGTTCATGATCTTAGAGAAAATGTGTTCGGTTTTACACCATTGAGAATGACGTTTGCTGTGGGTTTGTCATATATGGGCTTCATTATGTTGAGTTAGGTTCCCTCTATGCCCACTTTCTGGAGAGTGTTTATCATAAATAGGTGTTGAATTTTTTCAGAAGCTTTTTCTGCATCTATTGAGATGATCATGTGGTTTTTATCCTTCAATTTGTTAATATGGTGTATCACATTGATTGATTCGCATATATTGAAGAATCGCATTCCTGGGATAAACCCCACTTGATCATGGTGTACGATACTTTTAATGTGCCGTTGGATTCTGTTTGCTAGTATTTTGTTGAGGATTTTTGCATATATGTTCATCAGTGATATTGGCCTGAGTTTTCTTTTTTTGTGTCATCTTTGTCTGGTGTTGGTATCAGGGTGATGGTGGCCTCATAGAATGAGCTTGGGAGTGTTCCTCCCTCTGCTATAATTTGGAAGAGTTTGAGAAGGATGGGTGTTAGCTGTTCTCTAAATACTTGATAGAATTTGCCTGTGAAGCTGTCTGGTCCTGGGCTTTTGTTTGTTGGGAGATTTTTTTTTTTTTTAATTGGAGTATCTAGTCTTTCCAGAGGGATAAAGCAGTAGAGTCAATGCTCAGGGAGCGGAACATTTTCCGAATTCTGCTCAGACGTATGTTTTACCTTCAGATACCGTTGGAGGAAGGGCAGCGGTCCCCAGAACTGTGCCCCCGCCTCCCCCAGCCTGTGGACCACGCTCACTGTTCCGCCCTCAACTTTCCTCTGCCTTCCTGGTCTGTTTCTGTTTCTGCCTCTTTCTTTGTGAAATCCTCATCTCTTAACTCATTCCTAATTTGTAACCATTTCTACTCTTTTCCTTGGTCAGCATGACAAAAAGCTGGGGGGCGGGGTACCTTATACAAGGGGGTGCTTTGGATCCTTCTATCAATAATAATTTCTGTCCATGTTACACAAAAAGGCTTGATTTACTGAAGTCCCAGATCGAAGCAAAATGTTTTATTTAAAACAAATAGGTGTCCTTCTGTAAGTGTAAAACATTGAATTCAATATCTACATATTCCGTTTTAGGCAGACTTTAGTCATCGTTTGATTATAAATTAACAGAAACATTTTAAAACGATAGATGAGATTCTGCGTATTGACTGTTTTTCTGTTCAGACTCTGAGCTTAGGTTGCGGGAGCCAAGTTGAACTCCTGCCTTTACCTCCTTTCACACAGAAGGCAGCAAAAATCTCCAGAAAAAGCTATTGTGGTATAAACATGAACTAAACTTTACATTTTCCCATTATAGTAGATGATGCCTAATTTAAGTTTTAAAATGCGCTGAAGTTCCCAGCCTTTAGAAGCAGACTGGGAGATTTCAATACCAAGGCTTATGTCCCAGGGCTTGTGTCTGGTGACACTCCAGCCGTGATTTCCCTACTACCCCTGAAGTAATTATCAGATACAGCAAGCAGTCCGATGAAACACATCACTCCCTTAGTTGATATTTCCCTGTTCACTTTCAAGACTCAAACTGGAGTCCCCATTGTCTGCTTAACCAAGAAAGTCACACCAGCAAAACCTTGAAATTATTTTTGTTATTTCAGAAATTTACATGGAAATTGTACTTTGCTAACCTTGTTAATAGAAATGGTTAGGTTTCTTTTCATGGGACTGGATGTGTTTCACCTTGATGTTCTCACGTTGGAGCATCAAGGTCTGGAGCAAAAAGTGAGGGCTCGGAGGTCAAAAGACCGTCTTCCAAAGTGTGATGCTGGGTGAGCCCCTGGCCTCTGACAACCCCACTCCCTCTTCCCAAAAGTGAGGCTGGCAAGCGGTTGTAGTAAAAGCACCTAGCGGGGCACCTGTAGTTCAGTAAATGTCAGTTTCCTCCTTTCTCCCCCAATTTTTGAGTAAAACACAATTATCATTACTAAAGCAGACTTTGATTTACAAACATTAGTGAAAAAAAAAAAAGTATGAGGCCTAACAAGGAGAAAAGTTATAGGGAGCTTTGGAATAAAATGGGTGGACCTGGAGATGATCATGCTAAGTGAAGCAAGTCAGACAGAGAAAGACAAACACCATACGATATGGCTTATATTCGGAATCTAAAAAAAAAAAAAGATACAAGTGAACTGATTTACAAGCGGACTCATAGACTTAGAGAATGAATTTATGGTAACCGGGGGGAAGGATGTGGTGGGGGGAGGGATAGTTAGGGAGTTTGGGATTAACATACACACACCACTATATATAAAATAGATAACCCACAAGGACCTGCTGTAGAGCACAGGGAACGCTGCTCAATATTATGTAACAATCTAAATGGGAATAGAATTTGAAAAAGAATAGATACATGTATATGTATAACTGAATCACTTTGCTGTACACCTGAAACTAACACAACATTGTTAATCAACTATGCTCCAATATAAAATAAAAATTAAAGAAAAAAATAAAGGGTTCTGAACCTCTGCTATAAGTTGTTTTCATAGCAATTTCTGTGGCACTGTGGTTCTTCATAATGGAAATTTAATACTAGTTGCCTTTCTTTAAATGATGATTCAATTACAGTGTCACACGATGAAAAGGAATTAGCAACTACCTGTGTTTATTAATTGCTACACTGGTGCTGAGGGCTCCTGGTTTAGCCACCAGGAGCCCCAAGGTTCACGACAGCCCCCCGAGTCCCTGCTGAAGGTCCCAGGAGCCTCGGTGATACATTCAATGCACGAACAGAGTGAGCATCATTTAATATAATGGAAATATTGTCATTGCAATAGAACGTTATCCTCAGATTAACAGCTCAAGCTGTGAAAACAAATGTGAACGCTTGGCCTTCTGCAGTGCGAGATGTTGCTCTCATGAGCTGTGCTCCAGTCTGGGGGATGCTTTCATGGGAATACAGCAGCTCTGTGATCTCAGGATCATCCCATCTCTCCTTCGCTGTGTCAGGGGGAATTCTTCCTGCTGGTGCATGGACCCCTTCTTCTCTCACCCAGAAGTCCAGGAGTCCTGCGGCTACCTGGTAGGTTTCCACCGTGTTTTTTATTTCTAAAAAGCCTAAACCTCAAGGAACAAAGATGAGTTCACCCCCATCTGAAAAACCTTCACTTTTGTTAACTAAATGAACTTTTGAACTAAATGACCTTTAGGGTTACTCGATTAGCTGCTCCTTGGAAAGGTGTTGTGACATGGTTTCCAGTGTGGTCCTCCTGTTCATTGCCCACTGGTCATGATCGGTGACTGTCCAGCAGTGTTCACGAAGCAAACAATCTTCTCCAATTAATGCTGAGGAAGCTAGGATTGCCCTTTGGGGGGAAATTTCCCAGAATTTCAAGGCAGGATGACCTCAAGCTCTTGTTGTATTTTTATTTGAGTTTTGAGAGCTAGATTTTAAAAGCTAAGATAGCACTAGGCTCTTCTAACTATGGTTGATCAGTACAAGAGCACACGGAAGTGGGTTTTCCCCTGTCTAGTCTGCGGAGGAGAAAGGAGTGAAACTTATATGGAAAACTGGTTGGAACTCATTTCAAAGGAAATCTCAAAAGGCAATTCATAAAAGGCACAGGCCTGTGAGCCACAATCAGCAAGCTGATATGGCAATCTTAATTTACTGAAAAAGGAAAAGCGAAATCTTAATTGAAATTCAGGATCTATTAAGAAAACGGCCACTTGAACATGTTGACATGGCCTTTCTGTTTAGTGGCCTGTGGGAAACACTCCTCCTAATAGTTTAGTGACTTTAGGAAGTCTTCCTTTCAATGGACCTGGTCTGCTTTCTTCTCCTAGACCAAATGTCTGATGTAAGTGAGGCAGTTACACAGCAGTGAGGGGGATGTCCAGGTGGGACCCACCAGAGACTATTGACTGGTGCTCCTTTGCAGTGACCAGCTGTTCTGCTCAAGTTCTTTTAGGACACAGTGATTTATTTCTTCCCCGTCTTGTTTATTCCATTAACTCATGAACCCTGTAAATTTTCACTCCATGCTCTTATTCTGTGGCTTTGATCTAATCATCCTGTTAGACTGGTACCTTTTGTTACCAGCTCCCTAAAATTTACTGGAACGAGATTGAGTGTCAGTGGCAGAGGAATGAATGAACAAGTACCAAGTAGTTGATGTGAATTCACTGCAGCTCACGTGAACCTCATGTGAGACCTCAGTGATATGTGTGCAAGAAGAAAAGCATTTCCCATGAAAAAGCTCCATAGCCAAGGCAGCTTCAGAAATGCCAGATAAAGCCCTGGTTAACAGGTCTCTTTGCTGTAGCTCTTGCAAGATGCTGTTATCATGTATGAATCATTACACAAGGGGTGGAAAAGATGCAGCTTTTCCTGCAAATGACTCAACTGAAGAATCCGTTTTTTTGTGGCATTGTGTGCTTGGGCAGAAATTGTGGTCCCTGTGTTAGGAGTCAGAGGCCCTCAGGAAAGGGGGAGTCGGGGTGGTCCCTGCTTGGCAAATATTTCCTGATTCTAAGCCTGTGAGGCATTTAGGGAAGAAACACGTTCCTTTGAATTTTTTGCCCATCATCCTCTGACTCTCTTTCTGGTTCGTCAAATGCGAGGTCACCCCAGTGAAAACATTTTTCACCTTTTGAGTTCTTACAAATCTGCCCAAGCTTACATACAGGAAAATGTTGGGAAGTTCCCAAATCTGACAGCAAAGGTTGCAGTGGAATTCTAGCATAGTTCTCAAATGTACCAACAGGTGACTCTTTAAAGAGATTTGAGGACATGTAAAGAGCCATTGATGATTCATTGAAAACGTGACAGCTAGGAAAAGTCACGTTTACTTTAATGTCAGTAAACCTGTGTGTGGGTTATGAATAAGCTTCTACTTGACGTCTTTGGAAACAATTGCAGAAGTGCCCCAGTGGAAGCACCAGGGCTCCCTACCTGACCAACCGCCTGGGCCACAGGCTGCTCAACCTCTCCGGCCTCCCCCTGGAGGAGTATTTGCCGGCGCTGGAGGAAAAACCAAGGTGGGTTTGAAACCGGCGCTGGCTCTTCCCTGTTTCCAGAATTACTTCAGAAATCTGAGTGTTTCAAATGCTGATGCTCTTCAAAACTCAGAAGTCTAGTACCAGCTTTGATGCTCATAAGAATTCCAAAGAAATGCTGCAGGCCTTAATCAGATTCCTCCTGCCGACTTTCTCTCTTGCCCTGGGGGAATCCCGTCCATGGAGAGTCACCTGGGGAGACAGACGCAGCTTGAGAGCTTTAGAGAATGAGCCCAGAGATGTTAACAGCATAATGAAATAATGGTCTCCCTGGCGTCTTAAGATTCCTCTCCTGCGATTTTGGGGAAAGCTTTCATTCTGTGCTGCATTTCTGTGAGCCTAAGAGGGTGAATCCAGGTTGAGGGGGTAGGGATGAGCTTCTCATTGCTTTGAATTGAAATCACGTTTACCACCCCATCAAATTTCCTGAGACCCCAACGCAAAATCATTGCATGGTGTGTCCAAGGTGCCTGAAACAACCCCCTTGCCCCCAGGCTCTCTTTATCTCTGGTCCTTCCTGGACCATCTCCGGCCCCCACTGAACTTTGCCTGAATCTCCCCTGCTGCCCACTCCTCAGGTCTTTAAACACGTCCCAGAATCTCTGCGTTTTGCAGGTTGGAGTTTGTGTGGCCAGGACTTAGAATAGTATCTGTCATGCAAAAGACACTCAATCAATGTCTCTGAAATGAGTGAATGGATGCATGAGTTAAATGGAGCCGGGTGGGAATGCCTCCTTATTCCTGTGCCCCAAAATTTCTGCTGAGAGTCCGGGCACGACGGCGGACGTTTGTTTTTCAAGCTCCTTTTATCAGAGACTGGGAGACAAAGTTTAATATGTGTTTTTATTTCTAAGGTCCAATATTTTTAGAAGCTTCATGAGTGCCAGATACTACACAGCCCAAGGAATAGGGAGACAAAAGATGTAATTCCCACCTGTTAGAGGCTCACAGACCTGCATAAGAGATAAATTAGCAAGAAGACAGTTAAAACCCAGTGTAGCAATTGACACTGTACCCGCGAGAGACTCACGGAGCCTCAGAAGAGATAAACTAGCAAGAAGACAGTACCTACCCAGAGTAGCAATTGACAGGGTACCCGGGAGAGTCTCATGGAGCCACATAAGAGACAAACTAGCAGGAATACAGTTAAAAGCCAGAGTAGCAATTGACACGGTACCGGTGAGAGACTCACGGAGCTGCATAAGAGATAAGCTAGCAGGAAGACAGTTAAAACCCAGATTAGCAATTGACACAATAAGTGGAAATGTAGGGTATTGTGAGGACCCCGAAGAGAAGGAAATACACCCCAATCAAAGAAGCCGGGGATGCCTTCCTGAAGGAGGCCTTGTTGCACTGAGGATTAAAGAAGCAAGAGTAGGAAAGAGAAAACAATTCAAAACAGGGTAACTCAGAAGAGCCCCACAGACTAAGTGATTCTAATAGCTGATTTGTAGGAGAAACAACAATTAATTAAAATAACCGTGGTGCAGGGGACCACAGCCGTGTCCTTACATGGCATGTGTTTCCTAACACGTTGGTAAGTTCGGAGCGGCCAGGCCACGTCCTCCTGCAGGCTGAGCCCCGTGAGACCACGACACGGAGCCTGGGGTCTCAGCACCTGCTGTTCTATGACCAGTGGGTGGGGGAGGCCCTCTGTTAGGAAGGCCTGGTGCTGCCTGGTTCAAACACTAACACCGCCTTTACTGTCAGCAGGCTTGGAGGATGGTCTTTTGGAGTGAGAATCCCTGATTAAGTTCAAGACGCACATTCAAATATATCAAAACCCAGAACTTTGGCAAAGGTAATATTTTTTCTTTTTTTTTTTTTCTTCTTGTTTTAGAAAGCAGTCAGAGAAACTTGCTTTGTAAATACCTTTGTGGGTGCAGGCGGAATCAAACCAAATCCCGGTGTTTTTACTGAGAAATAAAACCAGTTGTTCATAAACATTCCCTTGAAAGAGAAAATGAATTTACTTTTAGTTTTCCTTTAGGCTGTATAGAAATATATGAAATAGGTCACTGTCTTTTGTTATGATCAGAATGCACCTGATGGATCTAAAGCAAATGAGAGAATAATCTGTGTTTAAAGACATTTGTTGTCAGGATGATGGTGATCTGGATACGTGCACTTAAATTCCTCCTCTTCCTGGTGGCTGGATGGACCCAGAGCTGGATGGACACAAAAAGAATGGTGGACTCCTCCCAGGGGCTGGATTTTCAAGCCCTGCGGAGACTGTCCCTGTGAATGAGGAAAGTTTCCCTGGCATCACCAAAAGTGGCTGGGAGGGAAAGAGGGCTGGGATAGAGGAAAGATGCCCTTACCCACCAGCGGGAACTTAGAAGCGGTGAATCAGGACAGGTTTCTCCAAGGAAAGAAGTCAGTACAACCTTAAGATGGGAAAATATCCGAAGCTTTCAGTCTTCGGCGATTGGGGAAATAGTTGTCTGGTGTCGGTCCCGACTGAGAGAAAAATTGAGAGAGAGTAGATCCTGGGAGTGAAGTGTCTGCTTGTAAACCTGTCATATCACTAATGAAATGTCCCTACCTTGTGCTGGGCCTTCATGGTTCCTGGGGACATGGAAAAGCTTATCAACATCTGGGCTTGTGCCTGGTGCAGGCTTACTCATTGGAATAAATGTTCTTTACAGGTTTTCACAATGTAAAATTGTGAATTTCCCTGAGGAAAATGCTAACATTCATACTTCACGATGCAATTCCAGAAAAAAGTGTTAACAGTCGTATTTCGCAACATAATCCCTGATGAAAAATTTTAGTCCCCGTGTGGACTTTTCAGAAGCCCCTCTTCCAGCTGAGATTTGCTCAGACCTCTTACCTTGTGGGTCACACGCGTGAGATTTATAGCTTAATACAAAAATATCAAGATTCATAGCTTGATAGAAAAATAAACTAAAATACGTTTGCTGGCTTTTGAACACGGGATGTGGCTGTTATTAAAATCAACCCAATTTGTAGAAGGAATCTACTCATTTCCTCTCAGAACATTTTAACTTTCTAATCTGTCCAAATCCCAAGCCCTCTCTTGACAGTGGGCTGTCGTGTCCTTGCTTTCAGGGTCCGGGGTCTCCCTGCATCTCTGCTTCTGTGATGAGGGCACAGGATCCCTGTGTCTCCCTGGCACCTGTTCTTTTCTCTCTTTATTTGTCTTCTGGATTGACATGTTTGACTAGTGACTTCTGCAGCTTTTAATGTTGTTTGATGTGGACTTGGCCAGGCACAGGCGTGCAAGCCAATGGTATGCAGCCCTCTGGGGATGGAGCTTCTTTCCAGGAAGCCCAGTAGTCATGATACCGCACTGGCTGCAAAGGGCGTCTGTTGTCTGAAATCCCTATAGCACTGTTGGTGGTTGATATCGTGTCAGATTATTGCATTAACCTTTCAGTAATTAGCCACCAGCCTTTAACTTTGGCCTTTGGGGTACAGCCATAAGACATGGAGTGATTTTCATGGTCTTTCTGAGGAGAAAATGGACAATTTGCATAGGAACAGGTTTAATACTTATAAATTCATTGTATTGTAGAATGTCTCTCGTGGAACCTTTATGAGTTATTTCATTCACATCTTGAGTGTTAGACTGGTTTAATTAAACACCCTCTAGAAGGTATGCACTCCAGTTAAAAAGGCCAAACTCCTGGTGTTTGGCATTCGTTCTATTCTCACATAGACTTTTAGCCATTTAAATATCCATCCAGTGATTTTTTTTCCTACAGTTACTCAGTTGCCTTTCTGAGGAACTGTTACTCGGGATCCTGAGATGGAAGGCCTGTTCTGAGGTGTCAGGATGTGTCCCTAAAAGGAGGCTGACTCCCTCCTTCGGTTACTGGATTTCACTGTGTCCTGACTTACGGGCCGGCAGGGAGGGAAATCCCACAACTTACTTCCAGAGAATGGTCCAGTATTTCAGGGAAGCATTCTTAGAAGAGAAAAAAAGAAAAAGAAAAGCTCTTCCTTTGAACTGTGCTTAACCTTAAATGTTAATTTAAAGGTCATTATGAAACATCTATTGCTTAAAGAATTTATAAAATTTCTCCCAAGCGAAGGTCAATTTATAGAAGAACCAAAATGAAGTTCAGAGTGTTCCTTGAAACTCAGTGCGCCAGTCACCCATCACCAGAAAGATGCTGTAGGGTGGGCAGTCACGGCCAACAGGGCCGTTGGCATCTGGCCTTCACAGAGCAGGGCTCAGCAAAGGCCTCGCTCCCGGGGGTGGGGAGGTGTCCCCAGCCAGACCCCGCCGGCCCCCTGGGACTGTCCTCACGACCACATCCTCGGTGCCCCTGACTCTGCCGGGCGCTTCGCCCATCTTCCCTGACAGCCACGGGTGGAGATTTGGAAACAGGCCATTGGAGCAACTCCTTGCCAGTCTCCTTCCTGTAGAGAGCTGGCCTGGAGCCCTCTCGGTCCAGCGTGGCAGCGCCCTTGCCCTCTGACTTCGCCCCCATGAAGCACCCGGGCCTTTCCATCATCTCACTGAGGTCCACAGGCTGCATCGTGGATCCTGTTAGTTCAGGCTGCACCCTCTGGAGTTAATCACTGGTATTTGGTGAAGTCAGGGTTCTCCGGGTTCAACCCCTTCGTCCCCTGAGAGGGTCACTCAACACCACCCCTCCGTCAGCAACTGTCACAGAGTTTCACGGCCACACCTGTGACTTGGTCTCTATACTGAGGCGTCCCTCTTGACCTTGGGCCTGGAGACTGGGGACCTGGGCGGAGAGGTTTGCTGGCTGCTGGCCTTGGTGGGCATGGCGGTGGGGACCCAGTCCTGGTGGCCAGGCTGGGCGCTACAGTGACAGCAGAGGCGTAGGGGCTGAGCCTGGGCCAGAGGGAGGACATCGGAGTCCCTCAGCCAAGGACGTAGAAGAAGCGGGGCATAAACGGGACCTGACACAAAAGCCACAAGCCCACGGGGAGGGGCTGCAGGGTGCCCAGGATCCCGGGTACCCCAGCTGCCCCACTCCAGTTTCCACGTTTTTATACAGTGTCATTCTTAAGCTGGAAAAAAAAATCTCCCTGCTTTTAAAACAAAAATTAAAACAAACAAATGAAACAAAACAACATCTGAAGACCCCAGATCCAGGGCAAAGACTACCATTGCCTTTTTCATACATTTCCCTCCAGTGAAGCAGTTACAGGAGCCAAGATTGGGGGTCGGGAGGTCATGGACCGTGGTCCTGGGGGTTCCCGTCCACACGCCGGGGTTCCGACTGTATCAGCCTGCCCCTTGACTTTAACAGAGGCTTGCGCTTGTATCCTTTCCAAAAACACGGCTAGATCCTCAGTGTCAGCACATCTGTGGCTGTGTGGGGTTGAGGTGGGAGCGCCAGGGGCCCGGCCCAGGCCTGCAGGACCCAGGGTCGCTGTGCCGGGCACAGGAGCGGGTGAATACACTGGCAGGCGACCTCAGTGCAGGGAGAGCTGCCCCGTCAGGGACACCCACACTTTTCCCTGCTTTTCAGAATCGCGTGTCGGAATTGCACACACTGCGAATCTGTGGCGGCTTTTGTTACCAGTCTCAGATCCACCTGGATGCCCCGGGTCTGTGGATAGTTGGTCTCAAGTGGCATTTCTTCTTCCTTGGAGTTGGGAAGAATGACTGCTAAGGTTTCCCTGAACCTAAGAAAATATTTGAAGAAGGGGGTGTGTAGTGACAGCTGCCGTGAAAGAGGGAAGGGGTCTGCTGCTTCCTGCCTTGCCTGGTGATGTGGGCTCTCCGAGAAATAACTGGGGTCGCTGTCCTGTGTAGACTGGCATTTTCATGAGTGGTAGCCCAGCTGTCCCCGTGAACACAGGACCCTGGCGGAAAATGACTGGTCACCCTGTGACGAGAGTGGGGGGATTGGGTCGGAAGCCGAGGGACTTGTGATGTGGCCCTGACTTTGCACAAACTGTGAGAACCTACGCAGCCTCCTTCGAGCATGAACTTGCTGGGGAGCAGCTCTAGTCCCACAAAGAAGGTTGTCTGTCACAGAAGGTGGTATCATCTAGAGAAGTGAACTTGAATTAGGGTCAGAATTTGCCAGTTGATTCATTATACCTCTTAAAGACACTCACCAGCATTCCAAACTGAGTACATTTAAAAAGTTTTTATTAAAGTATTGATCTTTTGAAATATAGATACTGATGGTTCAATTAGTATTTTTTATGCTACTTCTTATTTCAATGTTAATAGCATTGTCTGTCTCCTATTTCTGCTTCACCTTTCTCCTGCCTGACAGGCCTGCTGCCTTATTCTCCACGCTCAGCAAATGTTCACTTCAATTTATTTTGAGAAATAACGTTCCACATTCAGTTATTAATTTGAAAGTAATCATTTTTTTCTTATCATTTGCTTGCTTTTAATTTGCAGGTCAAATTTCATTAGCTTATCAACTGAGAAAGAAAAAAAATGATGGTCTTAGATTCCCTTTTTGCTGTGAGAATATAATTATAGAGCAACACTCAGCATTTGTTCTGCGAAAAATTAATCTATTTTTAGCCGTAAATTATATGCTGGAGATAAATACAAAATTAGCAGGCTGGAATTCACCGCTCACTAGCAGCCATGCAGGACCACTACTCCGAGGCCTGCGTTCAGGTGCTGGTGAAGGTAGTTTACGTGTGTTCCTTGCATCCAAGAACCGCATGAACAGACTTCACAACTAATTTCGTGAGGGCCATTAAGTCCTCTTTCTTTTTTGGGTGTGGTACAATCAGAAGGGCTTTCATTCCCTGCCATCCTACCTAAGTCATCTCAACAACCTCATTTTGTGAAGGCTCTTACCCCCTGTGGCAGACTGCAGGCAGTACGGTAAAGTTATTTTTAATGCAGTTTGTAATTCAGTACTTTCCAAAGACAGTGTTTTTAAAAGGGAAAGAAACAGAGGAAATTCTGAATAGGGACGTGAAGCGTGATGAGAGTTTTCTGCTGGCAGCCAGTCCATGTAGAAACGGGTACAGATTGGGAGGCCCGGGCTGCTTTTGTGTGTGTGTGTCTTTCGGTGTCTTTACCTTCCTGGAAGTTGTGACCTCAGGTGACTAGAGAGTTCGCTCCTAGCGACTTAGCATCTTCCAGAAGCAAGAAGAATTTCTCTCTTTTAAAAGACACTATCGTACAGAAAACTGTTATAGATGACCCAGATCACCATTATTGTTGGGAAGGTGATCATAATTTATCATAATTTACTTTATGCTGAGCCCTCAACTCATAAGTTATCTGTGTTGACTTTGGATTCACTACCTGTGCTTTCTTATTTCTTACCCGTGTAAATGACACAGGTGCATTTCTGGAACCCAGAGTGAATTTACTGGTTTAAGGGGATGTTATATGTCTCATTTGGGTGGGCTAAGTTGTAATTTATCAAATTCATTCAGTTCTTTAAAAAATAAAGAAAGCAAACAGATGTATAAATACCAGCAGGCCATAGCCATCATAATTTATTCACAAGATATATTTGTCGAAGCATTAATTCACATAGAAATAAATGCTAAGCGATTACCCCAATATGCTATGACTTTACCCCAGCCTTGTCTTATTCTTCCATATTTGTTTTCCCTTCTCCACCATTCTTTTTTGTTTTTTTTTTTTTTGGCTGCGTTGGTCTTCATTGCTGTGCGTGGGCTTTCTCTAGTTTTGGTGAGCGGGGGCTACTCTTCGTTGCGGTGTGTGGGCTTCTAATTGCGGTGGTTTCTCTTGTTGTGGAGCACGGGCTCTAGGCGCACGGGCTTCAGTAGCTGTGGCTCTCGGGCTCTAGAGCGCAGGCTCGGTAGTTGTGGTGCACAGGCTTAGTTGCTCCGCGGCATGTGGGATCTTCCCGGACCAGGCTCGAACCCATGTCCCCTGCATTGGCAGGAGGATTCTTAACCACTGCGCCACCAGGGAAGTCCCTCCACCAATTTTTAAAATAAAACATTTAATTATTTTGTGGCACTGTAATTGTTTTGGAATGACAGTAAGTAATATGAAAATGTGTATGCCCAAGTAAAGTACAAAAGAGCATAAAGTTGTATGGATGAGGGAGAGCAGAGTGATATTTGTTGTGTCTGAAATGTCTGAGGGGCATTAGATATTTTTATATCCATGGTCTCATTTAGTCTTTGTGGCAGTTTTGTAAGGTAGGTGCTATTTGCCTCCTTCACTGACTAGAAAACTGAGGCTCAGAGGAATTGCCCACCGGCTGTGGCTCTGAGAAGGTTGAGTAAGTGGGCCTTGGTTTGATTCCAGGTCCAGCTGATAACACAGCCTTTGCTTTTCTACTGCAATGAACTGAGAGGGCGCTTCTGATGGGCACGGATAGGACATGGTTTGTGGAGGGGGGTCACTAACACTGGACCTAACACATCAGCAAACGTTTGATCGACGTCAGGAAGCTACTGTGGGTACTAGTGCTGATGTGAGAGAAATCCGAGCATCTGTTCGGGTTCCGTGGGGAAGTACGGTTTGACCTCATTGTGAGGGTCATTGTAGAGAGACATTGTTGAGGGGGTGTCTGAGGCCACATTCTGCTTGACCTTGACTGTCAGAGGGAGGAAGCTGGCCTTTAATTAATAGGCAGCAGATAGGCTTTGTCTGCAGTTGAGAATGAGGATGACGCCGTCCCAGGAATATCTTAGGAAGAATAATCTGGATCCACGTGGTAAAGGGAGGGTCCCTGCTGCAACCATGGGACCTGTCGGAAGGATGCCACTCACAGTCTAGAGGTGGCCCAGGCAAGGCCAGGATGCATCGGGGCAAACAGTGAAATTGTCAAGTTCAAACATGTGGGAGAAAAGGTTGGGGCTTTGGGGATAGGGAAAGGAAGAAAAATAAAGAACCTGACACAAAGATGTTTAGAGTAAGAGTTTAAAGGGTTAAAATGTAAACGTGAGCTTTTAAGAATGAAGGACTTTGTGGTCAGCGCTGACGACCTGAGAAATGATTCAGGAGAAGAAGACGGAGAAAGGGATTTATACAGGTTCCGAGGTGGTGGGTTTCATGTTAGATGAAAATAAGTGTGTGGCGCGATTCATAGAACTGGAGAAACAAGGTCAGGAGAGGGTCCTGAGTAAACCATTTAGCCTGAACCTTAACACAGGTGGTAGGTTCCGCTGGTCCTCTGGTCAGATCCTACCATGGTCGAAGCTGCAGAGACAGGAGGCTGGGGCGGGGAAGGAGGCAGAGGGGCTGCAGCCCCCCTGAGGCGGGAGGGTCTCGGCACGGAGTCCAGGGAGAGGCAGAGGTCAGGAAGAGCAGAAAAATTGTCCCAAGTTCCAGAATCTCCAGGGAGAACGAGGATGTGGTGCCTGGGGCGTTGGCTTCTGTGGGGCTGGCGACATGCAGACGGGATGGGGTGGAAGGAGGTGGGAGAGGCTCTTCCAGGGATTTAGGAAGCCAGGTGGGCAAACTCTGCTTTGCGGGAGGTCAGTGAAGAAGGGCGAGCGGGGAAGCGTGTGTACGTGTGTGTAGCATAAGGAGAGCTTGGACCTGGGAACAGCATTGACTGGCCCGCAGGTGTCTGCCAGTTGTGTCTCGTCTGCCCTGTTTCCCAGACGTTCCTGGTGAAGCTCGGCTGAGAAACACCCACTGGTAGGAGTGGACTTCGTGTTCTGTTGTTGGAAAGTTGTGTCGACTTGAAAAAGACATGTATTCTCAGCTACTGGAAACTTCTTTAACAGTATTTTATTCATGTCAACCTTCTAATTCCCCTTGGCGTGTGTGTGCAGCCCTCATGAGAAGGAGGGTCTGTGCAGTAAATCGGGAGCGTGCAGGTCGCAGCCTCGAGGGAGAACACGTGGTGACTTACCATCCGAGTGTTGAGTAAGGGCTCCGATGAGCAGGGCTCCTCATGTGCCTTGGTGCCCATCTGCCACAGGCGGACATGGAACTGTTAGCTTAGCCATCATGATGAAACAAGCACTCACGGGCCGTGGGACTTGGGCAGAGCCTGTGTTGTGGGCCCAGCAGCCCGGGGACGGGGCTCAGTGGGCATCCTGGCAACAAGGCCGAAGGAACCGCTTTGCAGACGACGTGCCCTGCTGCTCGTCCCTGCAGTCCTGTGCCGGGGCCCCAGCACACCTGGACGTCCCTGCCTTAGATGGAGGGACTTTCTGAGCCCTGACCCAGCCAGGCCACGCTGCGGAGCCCCAGCGACTGTGCAGCTTGTCAGGGCCCCCGATTTTAAGCGTAAAACTCAACGTCAAGCAGGTTACTAGCCCAGCCAGCATTGGAATCATTGTTAAATCCGCTAGGAGGCTGGAGCAGCCCTGACTGAAGAGACGTGCTCGTGCAGTGACCCTCCAGGTTGAGTCTTCCAGCTGCGTGAGTCCACGTGCAGGCCGGGTGTCCTGTTCCACCGCCATCAAAGGTGGCCAAGACGCCCATGGGTTATAGGAGTGGACGCGGCCTTAGTTCACCCAGGGGTGGGGGACACAGAGTATGTGTCACCTTAGAGGCTTTGTTCTCATGTCAGCGGGTTAGTCACACGTGATGTCATGAAATGATATATTTCCAGGTCCCAAGGGAAATGAAAGGCCCGTTGAGGGCACACCCGCAACCTTGATGGCTTCTTCCTGTGCCTTGCACGGCTAGTCGGTGAGTCTCTCTGCCCTCAGGACCCCGAATCGGCACGTTTCAGTCGCTTCACCACCTGCTCCTGCACAGCCTCTTGGCAGGTGCCTTGGGTCCCATGTGCCCCCAACCCCACAGCGTCACATGCCCCAGTGCCCAGGGCCACCCGCAGAGCACGGCCCTCAGCTCACGCACCCCCGGCTTCCTGTATCTGCTGTAGCCGAATAAAAGGCTCCTCCCTGAGACCTGCACCCCCGCTCCACTCCTGTCTGGCCTGGAAGCCCCCCTCCAGCCTCCCCCAAAACTGCTTCACCCCTCCCCCCGCGTGCAGCCTCTGGCCCATGGGCACGTTGCTGTCTCTCCAGGTGTCCCCTCTGTGCTCACCACAGGTCCCGGCTCCCTTGATCTGTTTGTCACACCCTCCTGGAAGAAATAATAATAATTAATAATAATAATGAAAATCCCCAAACCCAAACCCAGGTTCAGTCCTGCTTGCCCGTCACAGGCCACCTCACCTCACGCTTCGATCTTGTGTGTACGTCTGAGTCCCCCCTATTCTGGGTGCTCCCCTTGGGCAGCGTTTTTGTTAAGATTCCACTGATATTGATTCAAGAATAAAGACACAGTAAAGATGCTGACACGTTGCTGGGAGGAGGCGTTTCTAAAGTGGTGAAATTGTCCTTGCCCCATATTCAGGGCACCAGGGGTCACGTTTCCTCCCGTGACACAGGCCATCTTCTCACGTGCTGCCGACCTGTCACTGCACCCACTCCCGCCGTGCTCCCCGTTGGTGCAGCCAGAATGTCACCCCGACGACCTGCCGCCCTCACGGGACTGGATCCTGCTCTGCCTCTGTCCAGAGTCCCTCTCCCACCCTTCTTCACCTTAAGCATTTCTGCTCAACTTTCTACATTAAAACACCTTTACTGAGGTAGGATTGACATAGAACAACTTGTAAATATTAATATACACACCTTGATGAGTCTGGGATAAGTATACACCCTGAAACCATCATCACAATCAGGGTCATAACATTTCCTTTGCCTCCAAAAGTTTCCTTCTGCCCCATCCATCTGTCTGTCTATCATCTATCTATCTATCTATTATCTATCTATCATCTATCTATCTAACATCTATCTACCTATATCATCTATCCATCTAGAGTCTATCATCTATCTATCTATCTATCTATCTATCATCTATCTATATCATCTATCTATCTAGAGTCTATCTATCTAGCTGGCATCTATCTTTCTAGCATCTAT